AGTCCCATAATAGGACGAAACGGCCGTCCAGTGCTTCCAGGTTTTCGATGGTGGTCTAGCTTCAATTGACTCATGATCTCAACTCTATAAAATTACTAAAATCTCCACCAAACACCTTCTGATAATTATTATTATTATTATTATTATTATTATTATTATTATAACCAATTGTACCAGTGATTGTTTTATTGTACTTGTTTGTTTAGGTGTACCAAATACACATTTCCTTCCGTTGCCTGTAACCTTGCATGAACTTGTATACGCTCCGTAGTTCCGCTTGCAAACTTTAGCATGTCTCGGTATTCTTTCGATACCACGAGATTGCTAACAAATATATCTTATTGTAACCGTCAACAGACTTCTGGTTTTTGGCCTACGGAGGGATCCAACTCGATATCTGGTACGTATTCTTCCTGTAGTGGTGATCATAGTCAATCGCGATTCGACGCCAACTACAACCTATGAATTATATGACTTAGTGAGTTATCTATTTTCGAGTTATACAAATATTGAAATAAGTTTTTTGAACTTAAAGATGCTACTAGTATTTAGAGTTTGATTACACCTTAGCCAGTAACATCTTTTATCATCGAAACATGCCAACTCAGTAAAATCACAAGTCAGAAACTAAAAGTTTCGTAGATATATTTTATAGGCCATCAATATATCCAGAAGTGAATAATCTAAGATGGCTAACTGTTGTACGAGAAGTTGAGCACAAAGTCCCCACTCGTGATCTGATACGGATGCATGACCGAGCGCCTTCAACTAGGTAGATCCATTAAAACAAATATGGTCAGCATTAAATGTCGGACTTACCAAGCTATTGATTTTGGAGAAATATTTACCGCCACAGATTTATTATTATAACAAACAAACCGGCTAACTTTATCTATTAATTTGATTATTTAAATACAAGATTAGTGAAATAACATTGAGTCTTAGTCAAGTTTTTCAACAAACAGAACCTTTTGGTTGTCAGAGGATTGGAACTGGACGTTGAATTGAATAAGGAATATCATTAAGGTAGTAGACGACTAAAGTGCGCGCCATGTGATAAACAAAAGCAGCAGTCGATCGCTCTTGTACACTTTATATTTCCATATTCTTCATAACAGAATAAACTGTTGTGGAGAGCTTCTACTTATTCCCAACAGATACATAGAAAGCACAATAGCCTGACTATCATGTTAGGGTTGCCTGAATTAGGTAGTTATTTAAACACGGATGGTGACTAGTAATGGAATCCAGCACACGAATTTCGTCCTATTTGAAACTCATCAACTGGATGTACCTACATCCCAGAGTTCATGTTCAATCTGGGACTCGAACACGGTCACTTCTCAACTGAAACCCCATCACGTTATCCACTCAGCTACTGAGTTATGATAGCCATTTGCTTGTATAATGGGGTGAAGTTTATATTCACTTGGTATTGTTTACTTGAATCTTCCCACTATCCATCTTTGTTTATAATGCTTGTGACTAAAGGCAATATTGTTGCAATGCTCACATTGTGCACATATGTCAATAATAGACTGACCAATTGCAATCGTAACCAACAATGGGAAGATTCAAGTAGACAATACTAAGTGAATTTAATCTGAATTATCGTTCACACTTTGAAACAAAACTGGCCATTACTCTTAATGTAATCTGTTGTATCCTATGGAAGATTAAATTTAGGGTAATTTCTGAGAACTATTTATGGACTAATATTATACATATATTCTTATTGTATAACTGTTGGGTAACTAGCAAAGATGGATACTGGCTAGCAGTGGAATCCAGGACGCGCGTTTCGTTTTATTTGGGACTCGTCAGCTGGATGTACCTGCATCTCAGATTAGATGTTCACTCTGAGACTCAAACCCAGTATCTTTCGCTTCAAATCTCATCACGTTATCCAATTAGCTTCTGAGTCCTAATAGCCACTTGACACTTAGGTAACTAGATTATGTATATTTATATTCCTCTTATTATAAGCTTTTATTTGACCTGTTGGTTACTATCATGTGATTCGCTTTTCTCAAGTTATTCTCAATCTATTATTCACGTTTTCTCATAATCACAGATACTTTTTGGCTTGATCTTGTACAAAATGTTATTTCCTATTTATGATATAATGCGGTCTGGTTTGTTTGTATATAAACTCAGTATGTCTGAAATATATGATTCGTATGGCGGAGGCTGATATTGACTTTCTGAACTGAACTGACTGGGTTAAGAGAGAAAATACTATTTGAAAGAACCCATAAAAGCTCTAGGCTGCTCGTAATTATTTGTGTGTCATTGGTACGGTCAATAAGTTGGCGATCGTCTCAAGGGATATATTAACAGGGCACAAAGGCCACAAGTTATAGCATAATCATTTCGGTTGTAACCAACTATTAATCTTTGTATATTCGAAACAGAGCAAGAACAATCAGGTTTGGAGGATAAAATGAATTTGTAGTGACCTGCTTTTCTCGACGAGAACGCGATCGGTGTAATGGAAACAATTATTATTATAACCAACTACACCATTGAATGTTTTACTGTACTTGTTGTTGTTTAACTGTATCAAAATCACTTCTCGTTCCACTGTCCATCTTGTTGGTTCGAACTTTCTTACGCTCTGCCCTTATTGCCTGTACTCATTGGCACATCTCGGTATTCTTTCGATATCATGAGATTGCCAATAAATATACTTTATCTGGAATAATTACAGCCTCCTGATTTACGAGCTAGCGAAGGAACCAAGTATTTTTTGGGCATGTAATCTTATTGTAGTGGTGATCATAGTCAAACAAGACACGACGTCATCTACAAATTCATCATTCTATTTCACCATTTCTCATTATCTGCATACAATTATTCGTATAATTATGAACAAATGTTCAGCAATACTTCAGTTTGCGAAGTTTAGATTAATGTTCCATATGTAACCAAAATCATAATAATCAGAAGATGAATAGGGATATAAAGTGTATGAATAAATATATTTAAGATCAATGTATATTTACATTCCAACAACAGGTTCCAAGATCTACAGGATCTACTGAAAGAACAAGAAACTACGATGGAGGACAACTGGAGAGGGATAAAAGGATCACTAACTTCTACGTGTCAGGAGGTTCTGGGTCCTAAGAGGCATCATCACAAGGAATGGATCTCTATGGGAACCCTGGACAAAATTCAAGAAAGGAAGAACAAGAAACTAGCAATTAACAACAGTCGAACATATGAAGAGAAAGTCAAAGCACAAGCAGACTACACAGAAGCAAACAAGGAAGCGAAGAAAAGAATTAAAGCCGACAAGCAGAAATATATGGGAGAAGTAGCAACGACAGTGGAAAAAGCTGCAAAAGAAGGGAATATGAAACAACTATATAATAGAACGAAGAAATTGGCAGGGAGATATAATAAACAAGAGAGACCAGTCAAGGACAAAGAAGGAAAGACAATCACTGAGATTAAAGAACAGAGAAAAAGATGGGCAGAATACTTCGAGGAACTGCTGAATAGGCCAGCTCCATTGAATCCACCGTCTGTCCCCATAAAAGAACTTTGCGCAACAGGCCTCGATTAGTTGTCTCTTGAGCTCTGTGGTCACGCACCCAGGTCGCTAAGACCACTACTAATTCAGCTTCGATTTTGCGTCCTAGCCTCTTGAAATCATGCTCTAGACTACATTTTAGAGCTTTTAATGTTCGAACCCTGGGTCAGATAGGAAAACGGTCTTCTTGAGTTAGGACTTTAAGATCTTATACCATCGATGTATAATTCGTCTGCGGAACGTGCATACAGGTTTTAAGTATAGTCATTCATTTGACCTCATCTTGTCCATATGAATAACCGGCAAGATTTGCCCTTAGATTATCAAAAGATCTCAATGCTACTTCTCGCGGCCTCACTGTTGTTGATATAGCACTAATTTCTGAGATATAAGAGTTTCTTTTCGACTGGATTCTTATAGACAGTTACATATGAGCTGTTCGACTAAACGGAACAATAAGAACTTGAAAAGTTAGAGACAAACGCCCTTGCTTCTTCGTTGTCTCTACCTACACTCTTACTCATTGTAGCTCGGACGAGGTTAAAGATGGGTTTTGTAGAAAGCCAGACAACCTCCTTCAAAAAGTTATATGCTCTGATGTAGTAATAGTGGCAGGTGATTTTAAAACTAAAGTAGGAAAACTATACCAAAGTGAAATGACTATGGAAGAATCTTACTATGTTGCGGCTCAGCAAACAGATAATAGCGACCGTCTGTTACAAGTATGTTCAGATAACTGTTTATTTCTGACAAACATTGTCTTTAATCATAAAGAGAAAAACTATCTAACGTGGTGACCTTCACAATCAAATAGTCGATGGATTTAAGTAGATCAATATTGCCGTTAGCCATCGTTGAAGGGGCTCGATGATTCTGGAGTACGTGTTTTGACTTGGACAATACTCTAGTTCTAGTATGCATTTGTCAATGTCCTACTGGAAGTGAAAAAGTCACTTAAAACAACTGCTACAAGTTCAACCAGCGTTTCACATGATCAGAAACGTGTTATAGAAACTTACGATTATTATAAAATACTTTCTATAACTTATTAAACACTTGAACTGAATTATAAGAATAAGCGTAATTTATGGTTGAATAACTAATTGCCATTCTTATCTAATAATATACCTTGTTAAATTAGGCATAATATCATCAGTAATATTTACATAATACAATTTCTCTATTAATAAATAGGTTAATCACTCTTTATATAAACTAGTACGTACCTAACATTATTATAATTAGAAAAGGTTTTATGGATATTATAGTAATTTTAATAGTTAAGATCATGAATTAAATTGAAGCTAGATCATTATGGAAAACCTGGAAGCACTGGACAGCTGTTTCGTCCTATTATGCGACTCCTCAGCAGTGCGTATCCACGATCCCACCTCACGAGATTCGAACCCAAGACCTATCAGTCGGTGGATGTGTCACTTAATTTCGTGGATGGGTTGAAGTTAGATATTAACACCGTTGGATGCCGATCGGCTAAACGGTCTAGTAGTTAAGCGCTCGTTAGCGAAACTAATAGATCCTCTGTTCGAGTCTCGTAAAACGGGATCATTCATGAGTATTGCTGAGGTGTCCCATAATAGGATGAAACGGCTGTCCACTGCTTCCAGTATAAACTGTCATCGACTAATACACATAAAGAAAACATCATCATTTAAAATGAAACCAAATAGATAACAAACTAAACTCATTTATTTTTTTTTTAAAAAAACAAAAAAAAGAACAGAAAAATAAACATTTGGTTTACCTGCTTGTTACTATGATCTAATTTCATATTTTATAAACAATATTAATATAAAGTTAAAACATACAAAAACAAACAAACATAGAAACAATGATCTATGCAAGAGGGAAAACAGGACACTATGAAAAAAGAAAAAAAAAAGAGAGAAAAACATGTAAACGAGTAACCGAAAATAGAAAATAGAACAATATTCATGTTTTTGTGTAGATTTTTTTTTCTCTGTTTTCTTTTTTTTTCTTTTTTTATTGTTGTTGTCAAGTGAATATTATGTAATAAAAAAAATTGAATCTAATCTAGTTCAATGAGAAAGAACTTAGCCATGACGACTAATAATAATGATCAATCAAAACGAGCATGTATTCACAATAATAATAATGGTAATTAAATAACAGTAGAAAATTATGTAATCAATGTCGGTAGAAAACAAAAAAAACTTTTAAAAAAACAACCAACCAACAAATAAATGTGAATATAACCATAGATACACACACGCGCATATACATACACACACGCACCTAAAAAATAACATCTTGATCAAGTTGATAATAAAAAAATGAATATAGGTGATATTAGGTATTTGATGTTTTGTTTTCATATGTTGATATGGGATAATATTGATGATAATGATGGAGATGGTAACGAACAGAGAGAGAGAGAGAGGAGGAGGAGGGAGAGGGAGATGGACTATATATTCCCGTTAGCCATCGTTGAAGGGGCTCAATTGAAGAAAATTACGTAATCAAGGTTAATAGAAAAAATATTTTTTTAAAATCAAACAAACAAAAGAATGTCAATATATCCATACACACACCTAAAAATAACATCTTGGTAAAGTTGATAATAAAGAATGAATATAGGTGATATTTGGTATTTAAGATTTTGTTTTTTCTCCGATTATTAATGATTACATTTCGTATGTTGATATGGGATCATATTGATGATAATGATTGACATGGTAACAGAGAGAGAATGAGGGAGGGAGGGAGATGGAGATAGTACAAAAAAGAAGTACATCAAAATAATTGTTTTAACATATTTTACGTAAATATATATGCATAAAAACACACACACATATATATATATATACGTCTATATATTGAAATACAAACATCAAACATCCATCCCCTATCACTCACTCACTCACTCACCCACCCACACACACACATACACACATATTGACATTGATCATTTTACTGAATAATTTTGAGGAATTAAAAAGAAAAAAAAGAAATGAACTAGAAAACCAGAGATTATTCAACTTTCATTGAATTCATTATGTTGACCATTTAAATCTTTATTAATTTCTTTCGTTAGAAGTTTGTTCATCTAGATATGGAGAGAAGGGAAAGAAAGAAAACGAAATTAGACAATATAGATACATATAGTGAAGGTTCTTATGAAGACAAACTCCATTCATCTCATTAATTTTTGATTGAGAACTGACAATGTTTAGGAACTAGGAAGCAGTTGATAGCTATTTCATTCTGGGTATGAAACTAACAGTGTTAGTCTACAACTTCACTGAAAACGATCGAATCAAGGACCTTCAAATCTCATGGTATATAAAGAGGTCAGATTGTCTAACCTCAGTTAAATCATCAGTAGCCTGTGGTGATATTTGTTACATACCTGAAAAGAATAGGAAGTTTCATGTCAAGACGAAACAACTGTCCAGTACTCCTTGATTTTTAATCGTTATTTAAGATCAGTCCTTCATATAAACTATGACATTCAACAAGTTCCATAAATATCTATACGAATGGTGATCAGATAAACGTTTCAACAAGAGTAGTTTTATTTTTAAATATTTCGTTTACAAATAAAATTAATGAGATGAATAGAGTAAGTATTAATATGAACCTCGTTCATATGTCCATCGGTTAAATCCACTGCACGAAATTAATATACTGTGGTACCAAATTAGCTTGATTAGTAACAGTACTAGTTGAGATAGGGAAAAAGTAAGTATAATTCACTAAGAAAATGTGGATCATGGAGTAAAAATAAATTTAAAGGATTACTAAGAAACTTATGATTTCAAATGGGGGAGGGGGAACAGAGAATACGCTCAAAGCGTTATAAACGATTTCCAGTCATACCACTGAATGACTAACCATTTATTAAGCTAATAGCTCGAACTCCAACCAAATAGTCTGCATCTGTGGTGTGTTCTACTTGTAAGAACAGGTATAAGTAGTATGTGTCAGGAATTAAAAGTAAAATGCTTAAAAACAAAAGAAGAAAATGAAAAAAAAATATTTAAAAACCTGAAAAGAACCAAAATAATAACAGTAATAAAAGAACAATGGAGTATGTATGAGATAACTCAGGGAAGATGTGCAAATGGTGTAAGTAATGTATTGTTTTCATAATTAGATCAGGCTTTCTGCTAACGACCTTATAGATTGACGTTGCGTCTTGTTATCCCCACTCCTAGTTTACTTTCATTCAACTTCGACTGTAGTTAACATCGTGTCTTTGCGTATGTGTTGGTAGGACATTTCCCAACCGCCTTATTTGGTAACGATTCATCACCTCAACTTATCAGCTCTTAAGATAAGCCTAGGTAGATCACTCAAATGATAGATTATGTTACAACAAGGTCAACATCAGGTTTATGATGGCCAATTATCTCTTAATAAGTACTGAGTAATTGAGGAATTATAAAATTCGAACATCTAACAACGTATGTGACAAACGTCGATCTATGAAAGTTACTTCAATAGATAACAATGACCATTTATCAACCACTAAATTGTAATTAACATAATGTTTGCTTGACTATTTAATGCTGATAGAAAAAGATCAATCAGAATCCAATGCGACTGTTATTTGAGGTGGCTAAACATCATATTTATTTATTTTATTTTGTATAAACACATAAATATTGGTACAAAGCAGCACCAGATATATATGTCCCACACAAGTCTCATTCGATTTGTGTGACGGCAGTAGAGCATCGTGGGGAGATGCAGTTTCATGGTAGCCGGTGACCGACGATTGATTCATACGCCATTTGTTCCATCAGGATACTGGAGCCGATGTGCACATTTGGTCTGGAATCAGGGTTTTCCAACTCCCCTGGATGAACTTTCCGTGTCCACCAACCCGGTTAGAGCATCGGACATTCACTTTTCGTTCTACCAATTTCGTAAACAACACTCTCACCACGAGAGGGCAGTGAATAGGACTTCCTTGTTAGAGGCTGTATATGCGTGGCCATGTGAGTATATTTCGAGAGGGAGAGCGGACTCTCCCCACTCCAGGCCGTACCAGGGCATTCGGGTGCCAAACATCGCATACATCTCTTAGTCTAAAATATATGTAAGATATCTTCATGGTTCTTATTGAGTCCATAATATCTTACTATAAGTTATGAATCCCAACTACCTGACTAAATGCTATCATCTTGAATATATTTAAACTTAAAAGACCTAAATTCACTTAGTATTGTTTGTTTGAATCTTCTCATTGATGTTTAGGACTGCAATTGATCAGTCTCTTATAGGCATATGTGCATACTGGGCGTATTGCTTCGATATAGCCTTACTTCACAAGTATTATAAGCAAAGAATGATATTGGCTAGCAATGGAATCCAGGACGCGCGTTTCTTTGCTTATAATGCTTGTCAATTAAGGGAATATCCAGGTAATATGCACAGTTTTCACATATAACCAATAAGAGATTGACCAGTAGCAGTCCTAAACATCAATGGGAAGATTCGAACAGACAATACTAAGTGAATTTAAACTTCACCCCATTGCAAAAGCAAGTGGGTATCAGGACTTATTAGCTGAGTAGATAACGCGATGATGTTTGAAGCGAAAAGTACTGGGTTCGAGTCCTAGAGTGAACATCAACTCTGAGATGCAGGTACACCTAGCTGAAGAGTCCAAAATAGGTTGAAACGCTAGTCTTGGATTCCACTGCTAGCCACTATTCATCTTTGCTTAAAATTCCTAAGTTTTAAAAAAGGTGTATTGACAACAAGTGTTGACTTTAAAAAACAGTGTTAAATATTTGATTTAAACAACAACAACAACAATAGTTCAATGTTTTGCAATTGAAATGATTCCGATATCAGCTGATTGTTTTTAAAATGAAAAAAAACTAATTCAAAGATTCATTGTGTAATAAATAATATAGCCTAGTTTTATCCAAATCTTTTAGTAAAGTGAGAACAATCAAAATAGTGTTGACTTAATTGAATTCAATAATACATTTGATGTGGTTCAGATCTTTAAAATAATGTGTAGAAATTCATTTAATTCATTAAGTAAAGACAACCGTGATTATATGGATCAAGGTTAAGCGGAAGAATAGCTGTGGTGTTGAACGTCCCAGATGCCGGGTGAATGTTGGTGCCCCTGCAGGTCGACGGAGATATGGAGGTCAGCTCGCCGCGGACTCGACATTTCGACGGAGATTGTGGCATAGACTGAAGTAAAAGAAGAAAGTGGCAAGGCGAACAGAACCACCGAAAGAACGAATGCTTTAAACGGAGGACGAGTGTGGTGTGGTTTATTTATATTCACATAAGTAGTATATAATAGTGGTCGGGAATTGAATGCATTTTAGTAGAAGATCGATAACGAAAGAACGGAAACGAAACGCAATCGGTATGAAAGCACATGAACGATAATAATCGGGGACTATGGACTGATATCTGGAGAAGGAAAAGTCAAGATTGAGACAATTGGTTGTTATTTCACAAATTAACTGTTTACTTCATGGTTGTCAGATTTTAGTGAGATATTCTTTAATTTAGTGTCTAAATACATTCGATTGTTCCCACTCTTGTTCTGTTCACTACAGTATATGCTAAAGTACATACTGGTAAATAAATAAATAAAACTGACGGTAACTAGAGAACGTCTAATATTGAATTTATATTCCTTAAGTAGGCTTTCTGTTTCATATGTGATCATTAAACTGCCAACAGGAATGGTCAGTGCTATTCCGGTAACTAGTCAGTTCCAATCCGATAAACTAAGATAATTCCCCTTTTGAAAAAAAGAGGACAAACGAATATATATTGATTCTAAGAATAGTGATTGATTGTAGAGTTTCATTTGTTGTTCTACTTCATAGTTCCTCATCAACTGGAAATAGACTAAGATTACAATTGATAATATTATTGTAAACATTTGTTTAACAAATTTTAGTTAGTAAAGTTGAAATAGATGGTCGTTGGAAACGAATCCAAATGATGAGAATAGATTATAAAAAAGTATAAGTAATTAGATGGTTAGGATTTATAGGTATTTCAAAAAGTATTGCTACAAAGCAGAACAGATGATGATATGTGTACAGAAGGAAAGGATTGTTAATATGAAAGGGGATTATTTCCATGTCATGAAGTTAATAAATGATTAGGATTATAATAAAATTAAAAAGTAAATATCAAAATAATTCTTTCAGAGATGGTAAAAATTTAAGATGAAAAGGTTATTTTATAGTTGAATTCATGAGTCATTTGAAGCTAGACCATCATGGAAAACCTGAAAGCACTAGACGGCCGTTTAGTCCTGTTGTGAGACTACTCACGATCGTGCCTCTCTCGAGCGCGAGGCTTATAGATCGTGTGTTTGAATTCCGAGAGGCAGGATCATGGTTGCTCACTGCTGAGGAGTTCCACAATAGGACAAAACGACCGTCGAGTGCTTCCAGGTTTTCCATGATGGTCTAGCTTCAATTGACCCATGATTTTAACAATATAATTAATAAGGTTAACAAATTAAAAAAGTTATTTGACTGACATTAATGATCACCATATCAGTGAATAGATTATTTCACGAACATATCTTAAGTAGATTGACATTTACTTACAGGAAAATAAACATTTTCATCAGTATGGGTATTTAGGGAGATTATAATATCTACATCGTTTACGAGTCGATCTAAACTAGATCATGAAAAACCTGGATGCACTGGACGACCGTTTCGTCCGCGTATGGGACTACTCAGCAGTGCTCACCCATAATCTCTATCCGTGATTCAAATTCAGGACCTTCGGTGATCTAGCTTAGATTGACTCATGAATTCAACTGTGTAAAATGTTCTAGTTCTACTCTATATTTATTACTGTATTTATTCACAAATTCAAAAGTTAATATCATTGCAATGAAAGGGAAAAAGTGAGATAGATGTATTGTGATATATCTATCTCTATTTACAACTGAAGAACATCTGGAACTCAAAACAATTATCAACCAGCCTCAAGATCAGAATTTTCAATACAAATGTCAAGACAGTCCTACTGTATAGGGCTGAAACCTAGGGAATAACGAAGTCCACCATCCAGAAGATCCAAGTGCTTATCAATAGTTGTCTACGAAAAATACTTCGGAGCCGTTGGTTAGACAATATCAGCAACAACCTACTGTGGGAGATGACAAACCAGATTCTAGTGGAGGAAGAAATCAGGAAGAAGTGGTGGAAGTGGATAGGACACATATTGAGGAAATCACTCAACTTCGTCACAAGACAAGCCCTCACATGGAATCCTGAAGGCCAGAGGAGAAGAAGAAGAAGAACAAAGAACACATTTCGCTGAGAAGTGGAGACAGAAATGAGAAAAATGAACAAAAGTTGGACAGAATTAGAAAGGAAGGCCCAGGATAGAGTGGGTTTGAGAATGCTGGTCGGTGGCCTATGCTCCATTAGGGCTAAGAGTAGTAAGTAAGTAAGTAAGATGTATTGTGATCAATTAAAATGTCATAAAATGTTCTTTAAAAAAATGATGCATAACTCATATTTCATGTAAGTCATTATAGAAGACAAATTAAACAGAAATACACACTCAAACGAAACTGTATCATCATTCAAGATGTCATACATTCAACTTGACAATTCAGTCATGGGTGGTGTAAACAGAGCCAAATCATACAACTGAGGGAAACAAATAGAAGTTAAACATACTTTAATTAGTGAAGATGAGATGGTTAAATGATGGAAATGGAATCGAAGATCATATAGAAGGAGAAGAATAGAACATAAAATATGAGATAAAAACATAGCTCTATTGGCTCTACTGCTTTCACTATTATAACGTCAATTGTTCATTATAACATTCAAATGTAAATCAATACACGTTCGATGTTACCTTCAGTTGTATCTATGAATTAACATATATTTGGTGTACTGAGTAAATTGGAAAGACAGAGAGAAGGGTCTCTCTCAGTTCTTCCGAATCGATTAATATGAACCTATGATTGTTAGTTAGTGAGTTTTTCGTCATTCCAATTGCCAAGATTTGTATTATCACGGTTATCAAGGTGAACGGTCAACGAAGCACGGCACTACAGTCTTACTCTATTTGCTAATTTCGATTGTTAACAAACGTGTTCAACCTGACATATGTGTATAGAAAGTAATTATGATAAGCTTTTCGTTACCATAGTAACCGTAACCATTAATCAAATAATTTTATTCTACCTAGTCGTTCTTTTTCATCTTTTAACTTTCTTTATCTGTTATGTAATTGTATTAATGTTCATATAATAGTTTTGTGGTGTGGTCTACTTATATCCATATAAGTAGTATATGGTGATGGTCAGATATAGAATGTATTTTGGCAGAAGACCAATAAGGAAAGAACTTAAATGAAGCGTAATCGGTATGAAAATACATGAACAATGAAATCAGAGAAGATGGACTGATATTTACAGAAGGAACAATGAAGATTGAGACAATTGGTTGTTAATTTGCAAACTAAGTGTTCATTGTATGATTATCAGAATTTAGTGAAATAGTCTGTAATTCATGCTTAAATACATCCGGTTGTCCTCACCCATGTTCTTTTTCACTACAGTTTTACTATCAGTCTAATCATTTTAAATAATTATGTAATCATTCATAGTTTCATTATGATTACGTCATAGGTGAGTATTGTAGAAGAGTTCCATACTAGGACAAAACAGCTTTTTAATACTACCACAATTACATAAAACATTGTAATTTTAGCCTGTTTACAGTTGATAATGAAGGTTTGAGTCCATCTTATTAATGATAATGTCAGTTTTGTTCTGTTTAAAATGAACAATGAAAGAAACACCTTCATACACACACAAACAAACGAATAAATACACCCAGTAGATAGGGAAAAAAACTGGGAATGAAGTTAACATAGCACCGATGTTTATAAAACGTTTACGAATATGAAATGTAAACATTATAGCTTAAATGAAGAGAGTATAAAGCACACACCTACCGGGAACAGTTTGTATTTCAACCTTCTTCTAAAGTGTTAAAATCAATACAACACTTTGGATGTAATTGAAAATTTTCTATATAAACATTTTAACCTTCTCTAATATGAATACTTTTACCTCCCTTCCTTTAGTGTTTAGGAAAGGGAAGGAGTAATCATTAACAAAACAATACAGTATTCAACTTTATGCAATTGATCAATTTGATTCATGTTAGACTTGTCCTATTATAGGACTCCTCAGCAGTGCGCATCCACTATCCCGCACTCGCGAGATTCCAACCCAGGACCTACCAGTCTCGAGCCAGAGCACTTAACGGCCGTCCAGTACTTATAGGTTTCCCATGGTGGTCTAGCTTCAATTGACTCACGCTTTCAACTATGAAAATACTAAATCTCCACAGAAACCCCTTCTCATGTTAGACTATTGGATTTTGTTTTATCAATCAAACAGTTAAATAGTTTTATAGTTATACCATTTTCTGATATGGACAAGGTGAATAACTTATGAGTTAGTCATCAATTTTTTGAACTCATTTTTGATGAAGTATTGTTCTCTGAGCTGGATGGTTTAATCGTGGAGCTTTCATCGTTCTACTGAACGACATCATTAGCACAAACTTCTGGTAGAAGTGAAGTGTTTGAATTTCTTCACATCAAGGTTCAGAGCTTGTCCTGTACACCTCGATGTTGATTGGTTCTTAATGACCTTAAATCTGTCATTGTTTATTTCTTTGTTTTGGTTGTATCTCCCATTGGTTTGATTTTTGTTCTTATGTTTCTGCATAATTTTCCTAATTAGTTGATGAATTGAATTGATTTCAATGTGCTTGTTTATTGCTGATTTACTCGAGTGCCAAGCTTCTAAAAGTTCTCTGGTGTTTTTGAAATTGCCTCTTTCCAAAATCCTAACATCTTTCCAGTCGAATGTGTGTCTGCAGTTGTCAACGTGGATTGATATAAGTGAAAACATGTTATGGTGTTTGATCGTTAATTGATGTTCATGAAGGCGAAGATGAAACGGGCGTTTGCTTTGTCCGATGTAGTGTTTGTCGCAGTTGGTACAGTTTATTTTGTAGATGATGTTTGGTTTGTCTTCTTTTGTCATTTCATCCTTTCGTTTGCATAAGATTAACAGGAGGGATTCTTCGCCATCCCAGAACTCATTTTTTTAAAAATTACATTTTAGATACCAAAGAATATAACTACATGAGAACGGTTTCTATTTACGTTTTGACGATTTATCTTTCAACTTTACCAAGTAGGAATATTCATAGCTTAAATGCAGTTTTGTGAAGAGTGTTTTAATGTTTAGATGATAATCACCTGAAGAATTTATTTCCATGACTCTATTAAATTTTAAATTTAGGACTTTCAGGTTTCATAGCAAATGTTTAACCTTCAAAGCTACCAACGAATGAAGTTCGAACTACATCAATATGCTTACCACTTGAGAGTTCTATATTATGAGGAAACAGGTGCTAAGTTTATTATATAACTACCTCATTTAATGTTTCTGTGATAGTTTGCATTTATAGGAGTAAATGTTGCAATAATAGTGAGAATGTAAGCAAAGATGGATAGTGGCTAGTAGTGGAATCTAGGACGCGCGTTTCGTCCTATTTGGGACTCATCAGCTGGATGTTCCTGCACAGTATGTACATATACCGATAAGAGACTGAACAATTGCAGTCCTAAACATCAATGGGAAGATTCAAACAAGTAATACTAAGTAAATAGTGAGAATGGTTGAATATTTAGAGTTTGGTTCAAGAAGACAAGATAAACGGTATTTATGACGGAATACTAGAACTTAATTTATGGAGAAAAATATGAACAGAGCGAAATCATTTTTAACGGCGAGACTAACTCTGTATCATGTCACTCAACTAGTCAAACCAAAGATTGTGGTTATCACTCCAACACTAACCAGTTAGTTTACATTTACCAACATAGCTCAAGGCAGCTGTTAATAACTTCATGAATTGATACAACTCTTTGGTTTAGCCGCTCATAATTTTTTTTAAGGTGCCGAAGTAAGTGTTGATTGAGTATACCTTATACGTGTCCCAACCATCTCAGTCAATAAACATTCACTATCCCATTAACCAATTTTCTATGGTTTCATGATACCCTATGTCTAATTTCAACATTGCTCATCCGGTTGTTCCAGCATATCAAAGCACTGCCGTGAAGAAACTTATGATTAGGGACTTAGAGATTACGTACCAGTTCTAACTTGATCTATCATATTTGATAACCACCGATAAATACAAAGCTGACTGCTGATCCATACATTGATACCGTTTGTTAACAATTGGATATGTCGTCTAATCCACAACTAACACAAGTTGCAAGAATTCTAATGAAATTTTCTGAATCATTATCTAACTGTTGATTACTTATGCAACTAAGATGAATATTGTTTAACCTACAAAAAAACTTGATCTTCAGTTATATTTTAATATCAGAATAGGGATTTGTAGAGATTGTCACAGTCAGTTAGTCAGCTACAACGTAGGACCAGGTACATATATGCATCGGTTCAAGTTGCCATAGAGATTGTAGTAATCTTGATAGTTGAATTGATGATTCAATCCAAAATAAGAAAACCACCCACGGGATACGAACTTAAGGAACCATGGATGTACACTATTGAAGAGTTTCATACAAGGACGAAATGGCCGTTCAATCATAATCTAGTAGCTTAAATCAACCAATATTTTCTAAACTAGAAATTCAGATTATTTACAAAATAAACGACTCATAGTAACTAACTTTATAGAAAAATATATCAATGAACTTACACGTCCATGTGCCTGTTGACGATAAAGATTCTCTTTAATTAATACTGTAATATAAAAATAACATTAATTAAAGATGGCAACAATAAGCATGTGATAAAAGAATGTAAAGATGTTGTATTCAATGATAAAAATATAAAAAAATATTTATGTATTAGGTAAATTTATATAGTTGAAATCATGAATCAATTGAAGTTAGACTATCATGGAAAACCTAGAAGCATTGGACTGCTGTTTCGTCCTATTGTGGGACTCCTCAGAAGTCCGCATCCACGACGCCGCCCTGCGAGATTCAAACCGAGAACCTATCAGTCTTGCGCGTGAGCACTTAACCGATAGACCACTGAGCCGGCATCCAACGGTGTTGATGTTTAACTTCAACCAATCCACGAAATTGAGCAACCATTTACCATCGTTTTCATTGAGGTACTATCTCACAACTAATCTCGTGTGGCGGGATCGTGGACGAACACTTCTGAGGAGTCTCACGATAAGACGAAACAGCCGTCCTGTGCTTCCAGGTTTTTCATGGTGGTCTGGCTCCAGTTGACTGATGATCTCAATTGTGTGATATTTGTTTGTTAACAGAACTGATTAACACCATTTTACATATTTACCTAAACAAACTTACCTGTCATTATTGTTCCAACTAATGTTAATCCTGTAAGGAATAAATTTCCAGGCAAAACTCCATAATGTGTTCTTAATGGTGTTGCAACATGAATCAATATAAGGCCAAATATCTGATGTTATGTTTATGAGAGAAAAAAAACAGTACACATGAAAAAATAGTTAAACATACATATAGAGAAGATTACGTAATAGACACTGGAATACAATTAGACTATATTTACAATAACAGGCAGTTTTGTAAGTCATGGGATAGTTGTCTACCAAGTAAAATATGTTTGATTTGTTATGTATGTATTTTGAACAACATAGATGGCCATAAGAATCTTTGATACAAGTAAGAAGGTAGACAGTATTCGAATTTGTTATCCAATAGTTGAACACTTAGTGCATCTTTCCAATATAGAGAACTGTGATCACTTAAAGAGATTATGAGATGAATGACCTATATTTAACTCCGCTTGTAGCTCTTCTAGAGTTACTGCCGGTCCCAAGCCCGGGTAAAGGAGGAGGGTTGGGCATGGGGTTAGCGACCCCATCCCGTAGAAATAGCTTCAGATCACCACCTGGTTGTGGCCAAGATGAGACTGAAGCTAAAGAAACACTGGACAACTGGACAAACAGCACTACAAAGGTTCAATACAGCCTTCCTTCGAGATATTGACAAGCTCAATGAATTCAAGATAACTCTCAACAACAGGTTTCAGGCTCTACAAGATCTACTGAATGAACAAGAAACTACTTTGGAGGACAACTGGAAAGGGATAAAAGGATCACTAACTTCAACGTGTCAGGAGGTTCTTGGTCCTAAGAAGCATCATCACAAGGAATGGATCTCTATGGGAACCCTGGACAAGATTCGAGAAAGGAGGAACAAGAAACTAGCAATTAACGACAGACGAACACGAGCAGAGAAAGTCAAAGCATAAGCAGACTACACAGAAGCAAACAAGGAAGTGAAGAAAAACATTAAAGCCGACAAGCAGAAATACATGGGAGAACTAGCAACGACGGCTGCAAGAGAAGGGAATATGAAACAACTGTATGATACAACGAAGAAATTGACAGGAAGATATAGCAAACCAGAGAGTCCAGTCAAAGACAAAGAAGGAAAGACAATCACTGAGATTCAAGAACAGAGGAAAAGATGGGCAGAATACTTCGAGGAACTGCTGAATAGACCGGCCCTATTGAATCCACCGAACATCGAAGCAGCCCACACTGACCTTCCAATAGATGTCACTCCACCAACGATCGAAGAAGTCAAGATGGCCATCAGACAAATCAAAAGTGGGAAGGCGGCAGGACCTGACAATATACCAGCTGAAGCACTGAAGTCAGACATTGAAATAACTGCAAATATGCTTCACCTTCTATTCAAGAAGATTTGGGAAGAGGAACAAGTGCCAATGGACTGGAAAGAAGGATTTCTCATCAAGATACCAAATAAAGGAGATCTGAGCCTATGTGAGAACTACAGAGGTATCAGTTTGTTATCAGTACCAGGAAAAGTTTTCAACAGAGTGCTGCTGAATCGGATGAAAGACGCAGTAGATGCTGAACTTAGGGATCATCAGGCTGGATTCCGTAAGGATCGGTCGTGCACAGACCAGATTGCGACACTACAGATTATCGTTGAACAATCAGTTGAGTGGAACTCATCACTATACGTCAATTTCATCAACTATGAGAAGGCGTTTGACAGCGTTGACAGGAGAACATTATGGAAACTTCTTTGACACTATGGAGTTCCTGAAAAGATTGTCAACATTATCCACAACTCATACGATGGACTATAGTGCAAAGTCATGCATGGAGGACAGCTGACAGATGTTTTTCCAGTAAGGACCGAAGTCAGACAAGGCTGTCAACTCTCCCCATTCCTCTTCCTTCTAGTGATTGACTGAATTATGAAGAATTCGACATCTGAGGGGAAATACGGAATACAATGGACTTCTCAGAATCAATTAGATGATTTGGACTTCACAGATAACCTAGCCCTCCTCTCTCATACACACGAACAAATGCAGATGAAGATCGCAAATGTAGCAGCAGCCTCTGCATCGATAGACCTCCACATTCACAAAAGAAAAAGCAAGATTCTCAAATACAACACGGAGAACACCAACCCAATCACACTTGATGGCGAAACTCTGGAAGAGGTGGAAACATTTACGTACCTGGGAAGCATCGTTGATAAACAAGGAGGATCTGATGCAGATGTAGAGGCGAGGATTGACAAAGCAAGGGCAGCATTTTTACAATTGAAGAACATGTGGAACTCAAAACAACTCTCAACCAATTTCAAGGTCAGAATCTTTAATACGAACGTCAAGACAGTCCAACTGTATGGAGCTGAAACGTGGAGAACTACTACGGCCATCATCAGGAAGGTACAATTATTTATAAACAGTTGTCTACGCAAAATACTCAACATCCATTGGCCGGATACTATCAGCAACAGCGTTTTATGGGAGAGAACAAACCAGCTTGCAGCTGAAGAGGAAATTATGAAAAGACGTTGGAAGTGGATCGGACATACATTAAGGAAATCACCAATGTGCATCACGACTCAATCCCTAACTTGGAATACGGAAGGGAAGCGGAAAAGAGGAAGGCCAAAGAACACACTACGCCTGGAAATAGAAACCGATATGAAAAGGATGAATGTTAACTGGAAAGAAAGGCTCAGGACAGAGTTGTATGGAGAATCCTGGTGAGCGGCCTATGCTCCTCGACGAGGGGTAACAGGCGTAAATGGTAGTAGTAGTAGTAGTAGTACGATGATCAGTATATAATGTCAGTCTATGAGGCCAACAACGGTTCCACCAACTTATTCATGACAGTAGATGAGAATTTTCTCCATATAGATATTGTATCCCGTGGAGAATTATGAATGGTTACTCTGGGGACTATTTATGGATCAATGTGATATGTATATTTCCTATTGCATAATTGTTAAGTAACTTAACTATTCATATTCGTGTCCCTCTTATGATAACCTTTATTTTGACCCATAGACTTGTAGTGACCTGCTTTTCTCGACGAGAACATGATCGGTACAATGGAAACAATTATTATTATAACCAATTGTACCAGTGATTGTTTTATTGTACTCGTTGCTGTTTAACTATATCGAAATCACTTCTCGTTTTGCTGTCCATCTTGTTCGTTCGAGCATTCTTACGCTCTGCTCTTATTGCCTATAATTTTTGGCGCGTCTCCGTATTCATTCGATACCACGAGATGATTGCCAATAAATATACTTCATCTGGATCAGTTACAGTCTTCTGGTTTACGAGCTATCGAAGGAACCAAGTCGATTTTGGGCGCGTAATCTTACTGTAATGGTGATCATAGTCAATAAAGACTCGATGCCATCTACAGACCATTACTATTATACCCAGTCTATTGATTACTGTTCTCACTATTCATAGCAACATTTGGACAAACCTTGTACAAATGTTATTGTCTATATTATGGTACAATGTGGTCAGTTTGTTTGGTATATAAACTCAGTATGTATGATAATAATGATTTATATTGTAGAGGCTGTTATTGGTGTTCTGGACTTAACTGGCTGGGCTAGGCAGATAGCAAGACCGAGTAGTGCTCTAGACTGCTCACACGGCTTTGTGCATCATTGAGCGATCAATAAATTCACTGCTCTCTCGTTGGTGGGAAGCAGCAGGTTCATATATCAAACAGAGTACGCACTCAATCGATATAACAATGGATAAATGTATCCTTCAGTTTTAATGCTTGGATGACATAACTCGAGCTCGGGGGTTCATTTCTTTTGAATTATATCTGAGATGATTAATAATATATACAGCTAAGGAGAATAGTTTTTTTTGAACTTCCATTCTCTGATCTCAATGGTTTAATTATGCAACTTTTATTGTCTTTCTAGACGACATCATCATTAGAAAGAAACTTCAGTTAGAAGTGAACTATTCAAATTTCCCAAACAAACAGCAAACAATTTATTCTATTGACCTTAAATAGGATCAGTTGTTATTGTTGACGCTTTTGGTAATCACTTTTATAAACTGACGGACTTTTTCCGTGATCGTGTTGAGATGAACTATAACAAATGGAATTGCTGCTATTGCTATGAAAGAGAACACAAATGGAGATAACCAATTATATTTTAATACTAGGTTACAGAATTCTGTAGTAAAATTTGAAAACCGTACGTTCACCTTTTCATTTGCGAATCCTTTATCAATTATCTCAAAGTTTATCGTTCCCTCATTGTTACAATTACTCTCTATTACCGTTCTCTTTGATTCGATCTTCTCAACCCTCTACTGATAGGTATTTCACTTCTGACTGGTGTTATGTATTACTTATGTCGACATAAGTAGTGTATACCACAGGATATCGTTATAACTCATTAATTAACAATTTTTTAGATAAGATGGTGGTTGGAGGTGGTCAACAGGAAACCCTGGATTCGGGATTCGTGCTACTTGGCACTCGTCAGAAAGGTGTACCTGTAATATTGAGGGAACTGGTGCTCTCTGACGGATTCGATCTCGTGTCACTCAGCTTCACAGTGAGAGACGTTACCACTGAGCTATCCGGGCCGCGACCGACCTCCTGTAGGACTGAGATGTAATCACAACTGATTGATCACTGGGTGGTTATCAATGCCATACGTGTCAAGTCCTTCTTAGTGCTAATCGAATGCCATCGATCAACTTGCAATGTGGCCACTAGTCTAGGTGACTTGAAACTGCGTCCTCTGTGTTGAGATAAGATGGTGGTTGGATGTGGTCAACAGGAAACCTTGGACCTTGGTTTCGTGCCACATTGCAACTTGATCGATAGCATTCGATCAGCACTAAGAAGGACTTGACATGAATGACATTGATCATCACCCAGTGATCAATCAATTGTGATAACATTTGTTTAAATATGTAATCAAAATATATAAATATGAATATTTTGTTCAAAAGGCTAAGATTTTCTTCTCACATCAATATACTTATACATTTACCTGTGCTGATGTATTCAACAAACCAGAAGATAAACCTTCACTTTCTGGATAAGTTAATTCAGCAGCTAATTCAAAACCAATACTTAAATAACCGGTCATAAAGAAACTGAAATGTACAGTAAAAGAGAAATTTATTTTTTTTAAAGAAAAATAGAATGACCATAGATAAATCAATAAAAAAAGGACTATAGAATAGGCAAAAATTAAGGTTTTGTAGTGTGGTCTACTTATATCCATATAAGTAGTATATGGCGATGGTCAGACATAGAATGTATTTTGACAGATGATCGATAAGGAACGAACAGGAATGAAGCGCTGTATGGTTATCAGAATTTAGTGAGATAGTCCGTAATTCGTGCTTAAATACATTCGACTGTTCCCACTTGTGTTTAGTTCGCTACAGTGTGATTAAGAGTTTATATATTACTGAATAATTGTTTTGTTCAAATAAGGGAATAACTCTATAGTGGTGATCAGTCATAAACTCTATGAGTATTCTAACTAGTTAGAGTAGTAGATAAAGTATTAAACTTTTATCTATTAGGTCACAAGTTCGAATCCTGGTTTATCTATCTCCTTTAGTTTTAGTACCCTTTATACAAATAGTATGATTAACAGATGAGTTCACTAAATTATAATTAATAATAGAAATATTTGATTTAAAATAAATTTGAGAACAATCTTAATGATAACACTTGAGAGTATCAGCTGATTGATACAACAAGATCAATTCTTGTTAAACCTGTACTGATCTCCTATAGACATAAGATATCTAACTTTGATTCTTGAGCAATCATTATTAGTGAACTTGAAAGAGAGCTGAAAGGTAATCCCATGAAGACATGACATAAATAATTTTCATAGCTGAAATCGTGAGTCAATTGAAATTAGACTACCATGAAAAACTTGGAAGCACTGGACGGCCGTTTCGTTATATTGTGGAACCCCTCAGCAGTGCACATTCACGATCCCGCCTCGCGAGATCTGAACCCAAGAACTACCAGTCTCGCGCCAGAGCAATTAACCGATGGACCACTTAGCCGACATCCGATGGTGTTAATGTCCAACTTCATTACAGTACTGTTTATTCATTGAGAAATAATGCGTCGTATACATACAGTTCCTGTGTATTTTTTTCGTTTTTAATAAACGTTTTCTAGGATAATATAATATTCGTCATCATGTATCAATATCATTTTTCTTAGCAAGAATTGATGAAACTAATTAGTGATGGTTTGAAGTGATCAACAAAAAAGCCTGAATTTAAGTTTCCTTTCTAGTAATTAACGTCTATTTATAATATTGAAAGAACTGTCACACACTGTCTGATTGGAAGCAGTGTCGAGCCACCTAGACTGGTGGCCACATCGCCTCTCGATCGATAGCATTCGATCAGCACTAAGAAGGACCTGACATGCATGAGATTGATCACCATCCAGTGATCAATCAATTGTGATTGGAAGGATTATTATACAGTATTGCGGAGGTAAGGTTGGTTGCTCAAGATTGTTAGTGTGACAAGTCTCAACTAACATCATATCTAGGTCTAAAGATGATTTTAATAATCGGGCTTCAATCACACACACATATACACACTACATTGAAAGTATAAGTATAATTGATATCTCCAGTCTCAGTCAATCAGTCAGTCCGCTCTTACGTAGGACCAGGCACACATATGCACCGGTTCAAGTAGCCATATCTCATTACCACAACAAGATGAACACCAAATTCATAGAAGTTGTTAATTCAACGGTGGTAATGTATAAAAGAAAGGTTGTATATAAGGATTCAGTTCAAGAAGAAAGACAGATATGAAGCAATTTTAATCTCAAGTTTTAAGGGAAGATAAAGAGTGTATACACCTACGCCATTGTAGTCGATTCTGAGCTTTGTCACTCAATCTCCAACCACTGGTTACGATAGTCACTCGGAACTCAACCAAGTAGTCTACATCTACCAACATGGCTCAGACTAGAAGTAAGTGATTTAAATTGTTGTGGTCAAGCTAGTCATCTATTTATTCATGTATCTTTTTTACACTAATCTGAAATCGGGTACCATATCGGAATTTGGAATAAATCATGTAGTGTTCCAGTTGACTTGTCATCTCTCTCCTGCACGTGATTGTCCGCGAATCAGGTGATAGAAGAGTTTTCGCCTCTCTACCCCTAGCAGTTAGTCCCGATTTGAACTCACGCATACTAGCCTCAAGGTTAATCAGCCAGCCTATAGCATCAAGGTCTTAATCTACATTAGACAAGTTAAGTGAACAAAACACTAGTTGGAAACAGTCGAATGTATTTTATCACAACACTACAGAATATCTCTTTAAAATATGAGAACCATATAGTGAACAGTTAATTTGCAATTTGCCTCAATTCGACTCTTTCTTTTGCAAGTATCCGTCCATAGTCTCTGATTATAATTGTTCATGCATTTTCGTACAGTTTGCGTGCCGTTCCCGTTTTCTCCTTATCGATCTTCTACTGAAATACATTCACTGCCCGACCATCACCATATACTACTTATGTGGATATCAGTAACCCACACCACAGTAGTTTCAACTGTCTTCTTATGTATTTAATAATGAAACGATTGTAAATTGTATTGAAATATCCGTCAATATTTGGTTCTTGATAGTTTGAAATATAAAGCCAATTTTTACAGTTGAATTCACGAGTCGATCTAAGCTAAACTACTATTGAAAACTTTGAAGCACTGAACGACCATTTCATCCTAGCATGGGATCCCTCAGCAATGCGCGCCCAAGATCTTGCACGTCGGACTCAAATACAGGACCTTCGGTCTCATGTGAGAACACTTAACCTCTAGACTATTGAGTCAGCATCCAACGGTGTTAATGTCTAACTTCAATCGACCCATGATCGTACGCAACCATTTACCCATTGTCTTACATAAATAACCGTCTAGTGCCCGACATGGATTGGACTCTACTGGTAATGACTTCTCACTAGAACTCCAGAAGTCCCATCTTGAAGTTAGTCACTAGTCAGCCCACGATGATTATCAGTATGGAGATTTATCGTGATTTTCAATATTGTTTCTTCGACTGTTTACTAACCCTTATGTTAGAAACAATTCAAATAATCTAGGTTTTTATCGCCGTTTTCTACTAAACTGAAGCGTTGATAAACAAAATAGTCGTCGTCGAATTGTAATTCGTATCACCAAAATGACCTCTGTTGTTATTTAACTTCGCGTTTAGTTTGTTATTTTTGTTATATCATTCCAAGATCACAATTGTTGCTTTATAAATAGAGTTACTGTATGGCAATTCGATTTCTCACCAGTATAGAAAGCTATCTTATCCAGAACTCTACTTACTCTTCTCTTGCTAAGGCTTTTGACAAGGAGATACTATAGTTGAATGGCATATAATAGAGATTTTATCGGAGGTTTATAAAGATGATCCTTATTGTAACAATCACAATGTAGCAAAAATCAAGAATTCGTTAGTTCTGTCAACCATTTTGGCAAATAACTTCAGACAATATGATCAAATAGTTTCGAAATGTCTAGTTGAAATGAACTATTGTCTGCTAATACAAACTTTATCGGTGAATGTGATGTATGTTATACATGTGAGGTATTTATTGAAATATCCTCTCATAATGATTAAGAACTCAGTTAGTTAAGGATAAGCAGAGTAGGTATCTAGGACAAATACAGATTTGTTCAGATGAGAAAACGAATAATTGTTTAAACTAATTCATTTTCTAATTCATAGAGCTACTACTGTGGTGTGTGCTACTGATGTTCACAGATATAAGTAGTATGTAACAACAAATCGAAAGTGAAATGTCAGGTGGTAGAAGGTTAAGAAGATCAAAGAAAAGAGAATGAGAACAGAGAGCGATTGATGTAAAAACGAAAAAAGCAATGTAGTCTAAGACTATTGATTGATATTTAGCAGAAGGAACAGTCAAGTTTGAAACAGTTGACTGATATTTTGCAAATGAAGTATTTACTGTATGATACACAGGTTGGAAGAAAGCTAGGGGCGGTCAGACCAAAACATGGCACAAATCTATGAATTCACTGACAAGTGGACTGAGTCATGTTGGTAGGTGTAGACTACCTGGTTGGGATCTGTGAGATGGAAACAATCGATGGTTAAAGACCTTGAATGACATGTCTCAAAATCGTTTGCTATGGCGCAGGTACATTCACTGTTTGTGTTCTGCGAAATTCTAATCTTCTGAATTCTTCATGTCTCCATCTTTTTTCTCTTTTTAAATTTATTTCACTGGATTATACTCCTTCAATAACATCTTCAAACCCTAATCTTTCCGATTACTGCTTATTTGCTTAATACTTCTATCACTATGGGATTTGAATCGACAACTGCATATCTGTGGTAATGTGGTATGGCAACTTGAATTGATTTACGTGCGTACAAAGCTCCACGTTGTGACTGGCTGACTGACACAAATTTTACTAAGATATTCTGTAATTTTTTATTCAAATATATTCGGTTATCCCCACTTGTGTTCTCGTTCACTACACTACTATTACTACTACTATGAATGTTATATAAAGTTTTATCTCTCCAGTAGATTTAATTTACACTACATATCTTTAGTTTATTACTTTCAGGGTAGCTGGAAATGTGTTGGTTTATCTTTTTATTTATATAACCACATAAATACTGGTACAAGGGGGCACCAGATATATATACGTAACACAAAATCATAAGAATGGGAAGAGAAAAGGGGTAAGATGCACATATATATATAATAAGAGTAATGATGGGGGAAACTGAAATGTACAACCAAGAAAAACTATTTCAGTTAAGGAAGTTATTACCATTCTTTATGAAGATAGTAAAAGAAGGTTACAGCAGGATCGCCATTGAATTTTATTCTGAGCCATATTTGATAACGTCTTTAGCAATTAAAAATCAAGATATTGACTTTCAATATTTATACAGCTCATAGAAGCAAAATAATTCGAAAGGTAGATTTCGCTTTAACTATCAAACTAAAAAACCGATTATACAAATTTGATTAACTTGTATTTTAGAATGATTTATTCAGTTAAGAACATCTATATTAGCCTTAGCATATTTGATATGAGGTTATCAGTGAGATGTGGGATACATATTTCTGTCCTATTTGGATAGAAAACGCTGGTGAGCGGCCTATGCTCCTCCGCGAGGGGTAATAGGCGTAAGTAAGTAAGTAAGTAATTTGGAACTGATCAGCTAGATTTCATCTATCATCCAGTACTTCATCAAACTGAACAATATCTTAATCTATCTTAATAGTCTCTTCTCTAGTCAACTATCATAAGTCTTTTGTTTTAATAGTAAGATTAATTTCTTCCTAAGTTTTGTATCCTTATCTCTCTTTGTCATAATGCGTCATCCTTCTGCTTCAGCTTCAGTTGACCACAATTAAAGTCATTTAAACATGTATTACATTATTAGTTAAGTTAATACTGCACAACTTAGAAAAGAAAGGACAAATATGTATATTTTTATAGTTGAAATCATGAGTCAATTGAAGCTAGACCACCATGGAAAACCTGGAAGCACTGGACGACTGTTTCGTCTTATTATGGGACTCCTCAGCAGTGCACATCAACGATCCCGTCTCGCGAGGTTAAAACCCAGGACCTAACAGTCTCGCGCCAGAGCAATTAACCTCTAGACCACCGAGCCGGTCGGCATTCAACGGTGTTAATGTCTAACTTCAACCAATCCACAAAATTTGAGCAACCCTTTCACCAATTGTCTTCAGTAAGTTGTTATCTCACAAACAGACGTGGTTGAACTCCATTAACAATAATATGCATATATAGATAAATAGGAAATTATAACTTACCCTAAAAAGAACATCACAATAAAGACTATTGGCATTGATCGGAGATATAATATTCCAGTAAAGATTCCCATGAATATTAAACTTAGAATATATATAATACATGTGATTATCCTGAATAAACAAATGAAATAAGATCAAGAATTAGTTTAGATGAGTACAATAAATGAGTGACTGGTCAAGATCAAATTTTAAATTCCCTTGGTATTGTTTGTTTGTATCTTCTCATTGATGTATTTAGGACCGCAATTGATCAGTCTCTTATTGGCTATATGTGCATACTGCGCGTATTGCCTCGATATAGCCTTAATTCTAAAGCATTATATGCAAATATGAATATTGGCTAGCAGCAAAATCCAGTTCGACGCGCGTTTCGTCTTGTTTGGGACTCATTGGCTGGATGTACCTGTATCTCAGAGTTGATGTTCACTCTCTTACAGATTTCACGGATTATTAGTTGCCTGATGTCTTTAAATTTATCAAGATTAAAATTAATATTTATTAGATAACAACTTGATGTTGTCTATATAATTGTGATTATTTTGTGATGGGTACTGTCCCAAATCTGATATTGATACATGGTATGTTACACTTTAACCCCCCCCCTCACCCGCCACAACTGAGTATTTGAGCGAAAACACAAGAGTAATCAAAAAAGTGTATTGGACTAATGAATCAAATGCATAGATACTTATCTATATGCATATATGACACTTTAATCCTTAGGAAATTGATTCATTTCTTAACCAAAGAAGTGCAGTTGTCCATTAGATCACTTTTGTTTAAGATCTATTGACATTGACATTAGATTACCTGTAAACAGTTCGCCATATCAGATTATCTAAGTCTTTTCATTACATTAACGAGATCAGTTGTTTACCTATATCATACTAATGATGACATTTAATATATATGTAGTTTAATTTTTTACATAGTTAATACCTTACATCGATTAAACTTTAAACACAACATTCATAACAGACCTTTCATACCTATTTTCACATAGTTACTATTTCTCTCACTGTTACTAACTAATTGATGTCTTGGGTAAAATGAATGTGATAGAGAATATACTTGAACAGAATTATTTACATTTTTTAAAAAAAACTATGTTTCTTTACAATCAATCAAAAGCAAAAAAAAACCAAAAAAAAAAACATTTCAAGAAATAGAACGATTTCATCTGTAAAGAGGTAACAACACCTTTTCAAGGATACAGGAAATAATAGGGGAAAAAATAGCATGTAGGTTGATGATGTTTGCAATTTATTTTTTATTGACTAAAGTGAATGAAATATGTGAATGCCTAAATATCTTCTTTCTTGACAAATAATGCTTACAAGCATGAGGATTAGGTTGAATTAAACTTATTTTACTTACTTACGCCTGTTACTCCCAATGGAGCATAGGCCGCCTGATATGTCTTGTTGATTGAACGCTATATTTGGATCCGAAGTTAGTCAAGTAAACCACAAGCTAGAATTACCCAGCGACTTGAACATGAGAGAAAACGCACAAAATATGCGAGAAGCACTTTACTCTAAAAGTTCATTTATGTACAGAAAATATAGGGCTTTTATAGTATTTTAGAAGTCCTTGGGTTTTACTGAAAATTCTAGAATACTACTAAATATAGTAGCAGTGTAATAATCGGCCAATCAGAACCCTCTACATGTGACTTTTCACTTTCGCAATATTTCTAGCAAGAATTTTAATCAAACGCTGATTAGATAAAATGCTCTTTAATGTTTCTTGAGCTTGTCATGTCTACTGTGAGTAATTTGCAGGATCATCCCAACACCATCGACCAGTATTCTCCAACCCACTCCATCTTGGGACTTCCTTCCCTTCTAGCCGAGGTTGAATTAACAATTAGTCCAAAAATTAGGGATTTGTTTGTGAAACTATTAACTCTTTGCTATCGTATTAGCTTTATTGCTTACTGTAGACTATGTGATTGATTGATAGATTTTATTTATTATTTATTTGAACATATAAATATTGGTACAAAGGGGATCCAGATATATATCGCCACGCAAATCTTATTTGATTTGTGTGATGGCTGTGATACTGCTCAGGTGCTCAAACCGAAGCAGATGATTTTCTTAACGGGCCACACTCGGAGCCTATGACCTAAAGATCTGATCCACAAGGCAGTGAAACATCGTAAGGAGATGCAGTCTCATGGTAGCCGGTGACCAACGATTGATTCATACGCCATTAGTTCACTGAGGATACTGAAGCCCATGTTCACCATTGGTTTGAAATCAGGGTTTTTCAACTGCCCTAGGTGGACTCGCGGTGTCCACCAACCCGCTTAAAGAGCCGGACATTCGCTTTTCGTCCTCTCAAGTTTTTACCTCCAAAACACAATCCATATATTTAGTTCTCATTTTTACAATAATTAATCGTGTCTTTATTTCAATTCTCTTTACTATTCGGTACGATAACTTATTATTATTATTATTGAATTATGACTAACTAAATGGATAACCTTTAACATCCCTGAACTTTGTACATAAAAACATACAACAACCAGTTACTATAACATTACGGCTTATTCATAGACAATAATCCGGCTAAATAATAATAAAAAAAAGATATTTGGTGCATTTTACTCAGATCAACGTTTAACTTGTCTAGACCGAACTATAACATTGACCTATGTTTTTGCCAAGTTATGCCAATTGACAGATCAATAACAGTTATGATTGAATCATTAGACGAAACGTGATTTGAGAAGTATAAATGTATCTTTTTTTATATCATTGTATTATGTAATATATATAAAGCCTTAATGTAGCTTACTATGGATAGTGTTAGGTGTTTGAAAATGGGTGATAGAAAAACATGGAACTGAATTTCTAGTTGTTTAGCGTATATTAAATAGTTGTCACAGCAGTCTTGAGGGAACTGATGGTCCCTGTTGTATTCAAACAGCTTTACAGTCTGTTTGATGTAGACTAATCCTCTAAAAGTAGTGCACTTGTTGTAGAGTCAACTAGACTAGTGTTCGCATTGAAACTTTACCGACAGAATGTAACCCGGTCTACATACTAGACAAACATAACATAGATAATTACTCATTGCTTTCATAGTCAATTGAATATAGATCATCATGGAAAACGTGGAAGCACTGAACGGCCGTTTCGTCCTATTATGTGACTCCTCAGTAGTGCGAATTCACGACCCGCAACAGCGAGATTCGAACCCAGGACCTACCAGTCTCGCGCCAGAGCAGTTAACAGATGGTCTATCTTCAATTGATTATGGAAATACTAAAATCTCCACAAAACCCCTTCTGATCAACTACTCATTGATCAATCAATGTAAATATCTCAGTTCTACTGGATTTCAGAGGTAGCTTAAACAACGCATTGATACGATATGAAACTGTGAAACAAGGTGATTTGATCTATAAATTTTATTAGAAAGAAGACACTTCATTGTCAGATAAATTGTATAATTAGGTATTGTTGATTAAGTGGATTCATTTAAAAGTATCTCAGATATTCTCAAAGAATTAGGGACATTTGAAACTTTATTTGCAAAGATGGATAGTGTCTAGCAGTAGTATACATGACGCGCATTTCGTCCTATTTGGGACTCGTCAGTTGGATGTACCTGCGTCTCAGAGTTGATGTTCGCTCTGGGACTCGAACCCAGTAACTCTCGCTTATAATGCTTGTGAATTAAGGCAATATCGAGGCAATACACACAGTATGCACATATGGCAATAAGAGACTGAACAATTGCAGTCCTAAACATCATTGGGAAGATTCAAACAAACAATAGTAAGTGAATTTAACTTTTTTTATTATCAAAGACATAAAAGTACGAATTATGACGTTGATGACTCTGCTCATAGTCGAGGTAAAATCAGGTTTACTACCTCCTCATAGTATGCAATCTATATCTGTGTGATCAAAAGTACAATCCGTTTCTTGCAATTTACGTAACATAGATATAAATTTTCATACATTTACCATATATTCAACATTACAACAACTGTGATATTACATATTTCTATGAAATGTCTCTTCATTATTATTATTATCAAAAGGGGTTTTGAGAAGATTTAGTATTTTCATAATCACGAGCGTGAGTCAGTTGAAGTTAGACCACCAAGGAAAACCTGGAAGCACTGGACGACCGTTTTGTCTTATTGTGGGACTCCTCAGCAGTGCTCATCCACGAACTCGCCTAGCGAGATCCGAACTCAGGACATACCAGTATCGCGGCAGAACACTTAACCGATAGACCAGTGATCCGGTTGGCATCCGATGGTGTTTATGTCCAACTCCAACCAATCCACGAAGTTGAGCAACCGTTCACCAATTGTCTTCAGTGAGTTCCTATCTCTCTTAACAGATGTGGTTTGAACTCCACTGGTCACTGCTTTTCATTAGAATTGCAGGATTTACCTCTCGAAGTCAGTCACTAGTGAGCATATCGACATCACGTCCAAGATTCAACACAACAGTAGAATCTTACCTCACCAGTTTTGAAAGAAATGTAAGTGACAGAACGAACAAGAATAGTGAATGTGGATTAAGAAATTGATAAATTAAATGTCAGTTAATGCTAAAAAAATCACACACAACTTGATTATGAAGTAAGCCAGATAAACTAATCAACACATACGTCTTAATGGATATACACTGATCTAGTTTATTGATACACCTTTATACTGAGCTATTTAAACCGAATCCAATATGTCAATACATTGTCGATCAATGATCTGTTTTTTACATCATTGATTACGGCTGTCAAATGATTGAAGAATAGTAATACGGAATCCTAAACATAAGGATTATGCTCATTATTAAGTGAAATATGTCATATATTAGAATGACTCTAATTCTAGCCTAGTTCAGTCCAACAAGCTCTTGGACGGTACCTGTTTGATGATTACTTTATCTTTTCGAAAGTACCTTCAAACTTGGACAATTCGTAAAGACACCTTAGAATTAAAAAAAAACAACTAAGAGAACAGTGTATATTATTATTAGCAGGTAAGTTGAAATATGGCTATTAGTGGAATCCAAAACATTCATTTTGTTTCATTTCTGACGAGTCTCAAATAGGACGAAATGTATATCTCGGATTATTCTACTACTGGCCACCATCTAACTCTCTTTATAATCCTTTTAACTTCACTTCAATGTCAAGACCATCTTTACAGGATGCATACATGTTGAAAGAGACTGATCAGTTAGTCTAAAATATCAATGAAATGATTGAAATAACCAATAAAAATGAATAGAATATTTTCATAGTTGAAATCATGAGTCAATTGAAGTTAGACTACTATGGAACACCTGGAAACACTGGATAAGTCCTGGGTTCGAATCTCGCGAGTGCGGGATCGTGGATGCGCACTGCCACCGAGGAGTCCCATAATAGGACGAAATGGCCGTCAAGCAGTGCTTCCAGGTTTTCCATGGTGGTCTAGCTTCAATTGACTCATGATTTCAACTATGAAAGCACTGAAGTCTCCAGAAAACTCCTTCTGAATAGAATATTGCTGTGTAAAACAAAAAAAGTAAATACAAAATGAATGATCTTACTTAAATTTTTTTGTTTTATCTAAAATTACACCAGTTATTACTGATCCAAATATACCGGCAATAATCATAGTGAAACCAGCCCAACCAGATAAAGTAGAATTCTTGATAATGTAAAATGTAAAAAAAAATTAAGGATTAGTGAAGTACAATAATTATAGGGGTATTTGAGAAAACAAGGTAAATTTCTATTAACACCAGGTTTTCCTTAGTGGTCTAGCTTCAATTGACTCAAGCTTTCAACTATGAAAATACTAAATCTCCACAAAAACCTCTTCTGATAATAATAATCTAATGCTCACAAGTGACTGACTTCGAGAGGCAATTCCTGCAATTCTAGTGAGAAGCAGTGACCAGTGGAGTTCAAACCACGTCTGTTGTGAACGGTTGCTCAACTTCGTGGATTGGTTGGAGTTGGACATAAACACCATCGGATGCCAACCGGATCACTGGTCTATCGGTTAAGTGTTCTGGAGCGAGACTGATAGGTCCTGGATCCGAAGCTCGCGAGGCAAGTTCGTGGACGCGCACTGCTGAAGAGTTCCATGATAGAATGAAACGGCCGTCAAGTAGTGTTTCCAGGTTTTCCATAGTGGTTTAGCTTCAATCGACTCACGCTTTCAACTATGATAACATTGAATAGTTTAAATGAGTGTCACAGTAAGTTGTGATTAATATTACTCAATCACTTGACTTCATGAACTGGTCTTTTACAATATCCAGCCTCAAGATACATTTCATGACGTTTTCAGTGGATAACTGTAATGTAAGTAGCTGACTATATTAGAACTACCCAATATTCTATAAGAATTAGTCGATATATAATGGATTAACTGAAATTAAAAGTATAGATTCCAAATGGATTATAGTTCATTGGTCCAAAACTATTAACTTTCTCTCATATACTCATTGATCATATGGTTGAAATCATGAGTCGATTGAAGCTAGACTACTATGGAAAAAACCTGAAAGCACTGGACGGCCATTTTGTATTATTGTGGGACTCCTCAGCAGTGCGCATCCACTATTTCAACTATAAAATTACTAAAATCTCCACAAAATCGCACTTCTGATTATGATCATAGTTTGTGATATTATCTGAAATCACTGTTTCATCCTCTTGTTAAGGAGTACCAGGGCTAAGATAAAACAATGCTTCAGTAATTTGTAGTTTACAGTGGTTTCACAGTTAATTTCACTTCATGTTGAAGTATGTCTTCAAAATATGGAGAATAATGTTTGTTAATTTATTATCGGTTGAATAACTCACTGCATAATATTTTTCGACTATGACACTAAAAGTTGCATGATGTTCTAATCATATGATGAGTATGAGCTTGTTCAGCACAACAGAAACGTCTTGCTTGATATATTAAAAGGGTGATAAAGTGGAGCCATATCTTCCTGCAGATGAGATCAAATCATCTAACATTTAACCAGTTTATGTGGTTGCAGATACTTGACAGGAGAATCTGAGTGTGGGTCAGTACTATTTGAAACACGTCTCCAGGACGTACCTGTAATGTTGAGGTAACTGAAGGACCCTAGTAGATGCGAACCTACATCATCCAACTTTGCAGTTTGAAACGCAATTACTTAGCTACTGACGTTGCAACTAATTCCTGTTGGGACTTAAATATTTCCAATTAATTGATCTCTGGTTGGTGACCAATGTAATTTACGTACAATATTTCCTCTCGACTACAAACATGATACCAAGTATCATTTATCCCTAGTTTAAGGATCAGACAAACATGACATTGGTTACTATTGTTCAATGATTAATTAACCAAACTGAGTCAACAATGACTCATGATCTTAACTAAATAAAATTACTATAATCTCCACAAAACTCCCTTGTGATAATGATCATATGCTCACTAGTGACTGGCTCCATGAATGAATTCCTGGAGTTCTAGTGAAAAGTCGTGGCCAGTGGAGCTAATCCATGTCAGGTAGAGACAGGTATCTACGTCAGTACATATCCTTGAAGATCCTTTGAAGTATTTTCATGACTCAAAACAAAAATGACACTTATATTTCCCCCTTAAATTAGATCATATTCATAGTAGTAATGTAGTCATCAATACTTTGAAATCCCATGTATACTGATTATGGACTATGTAAAATAAAGTCTCATTACCACAAGGGGGTTTTGTGGAGATTATAGTAATTTTATTTGGTTAAGATCATGAGCCAATTGAAGCTAGACCACCATGGAAGCTAACTTATTCGGAATAATCACTCTACATCAAATATGATTGAAAGCTCAGTATTAAACATTTTTTTAATGCTTCTATACTCTTAACCTATTGAATATAGTTTATTGGTTTCATGTTGCAAAGTAGGCACTTAAACCTTGAGATTAAAATGGTTTCATATCTTCCTTTCTTTCTTCCTGTACTATATCCATATATAGAACCTTTATTTTATATATTACCACCACTAGATTAACTATATCTATGAATTCTAACACCAAGGTTAAAATTTTCGATACAAATGTCAAGACAGTTCTACTGTATGGGGCGGATACATGGAAAAGTACGAAAGCCATCATCCAGAAGATACAAGTGTTTATTAACAATTGTCTACGTAAGATGCTTCGGATTCGATGGCCGGACTCTATCAGCAACAAGTTACTGTGGGAGACAACAAACCAGATTCCAGTGGAGGAAGAAATCAGGAAGAAGCGCTGGAAGTGGATTGGGCACACCTTGAGGAAATCACCTGATTGCGTCACAAGACAAGCCCTCACATGGAATCCTGAAGGCCAAAGCGGAAGAGAAAGACCAAAGAACACATAACGCCGAGAAATAGAGACAGAAATGAGAAAAATGAACAACAGTTGGATAGAACTAGAAAGGAAGGCCCATGATAGAGTGGGTTGGAGAATGCTGATCGGCGGCCTATGCTCCATTGGGAGTAACAGGCGTAAGTAAGTAAGTAAGTAAGTATGAATTCGGTGTTCATCTTGTTATGGTTATGAGGTCAGGCAACTTGGACCGATGCATATATGTGCCTGGTCCTACGTTGTAGCTGACTGACTTGGTTAAGTGATCTATCATTATAAGTAAATATCTATGGATGTTAGATGAGTAGAGAGATGAAAAGAAACTAAACATTTAAATTTCGGATGAGTTAATATTACTAAAACATTTCTGAAGAGTTGATACTTTGTATTATATCCAATCTCATATATCATCCTACCATTATTAACTTTAGTATTATCACTAAGCTATTCCAATTATTATCTTAATTCTAAATTAAAGTTGACAATTAGATTGATTTAAGACCATGTGGTTGATTGATAGTTTTTTTTTTTCATATGCATCATAATGATAACAATGTTCATTACAATGTACTCTGTATTGATACATAACAATAATGAACATGTGATTGAAATGATGAAAAAGTCTAGAGAATAGTTTACATTCTGTATAATATAAGAGAATAACTGAATACAGAATGATATAGAACAGTTTACATGATATACTGATCTTAATTAAATAACGTTTGAAAGTTAGAAAGTAATCGGATAGTTGTTTCGTCCAAATCTCATTTGATTTGTGTGATGCCTGTGAAACTGCCCAGGTGACCAAACTGAAGCGGGTGGTTTTTTTAGGGGGCAAAATTCTGAGCATTTCACCTAAATTTCTGTCTCAATAGGCAGTGGAACATCGTAAGGAGATGCAGTCCCATGGTATCCGGTGACCTATGATTGATTCATACGCCATTTGTTCCCTTAGGATACTGGAGCCCATGTTCACTATTGGTATGGAATCAGGGTTTTCCAACACCCCTAGGTGGACCTTCCGTGTCCACCAATCCGATTAAAGCTCCGGACATTCACTCTTCGTCCTTTCAATTTCTTAAACAACACCCTGGTGCACGACAAGGCAGTGGGTAGGACTTTCTTGTGTGATTCCTTATTAATGCCTACTAACAATTCTATCAGAGATCGAACCCATGACTTTTACTTTTTATGAGGAGCCTTTAATCTTAGTTAATATCTAATCCTTTCAGATAAGAACAATGAACCCATGCTTTTTAATAAAAACCAATTGGAATAAAAAGATTGACTTACTGTGAAATATCCTAGTAAAATACTATTTAACAATGTACCAACAGCATAATAGACACCAGTAAGTATACCTGGACAATAAAAAATTGGGGAACAACATATCATTATGCATATGTATATAAGAAACAATCAAATTAAGAAACTGATGGGCCTATTAATCATTATTTGCATGATTTAGTATTCTTATTTAGATTGTATCGACATTTGGGTTGCTTGAGAGGATGTTATGATAGTTTATTTGTGATGATAAGGTGACCATATTGGTTAATAGTGAATTTTGGTTGCCTAGTGAATAACGAGTTGGATTTTGAAGTGATAAATGTTAGGTTCGGGGTTAAGTGTGAATATCAACACTAGAATGTAGGTATCCAGATAAGCAGTACTATATATGGACGAAATATGGGTCTCAGATTATACTGTTAGTTAGTAACCAAAGTATAAGCTTTCTATAATTCGTAATATTTATATTAACTAAAAGTAGAACTTCAGGAGGAATGTTTCGTCCTCATTGGGGCTCATCAGCTGAATATGCCTGCATCTCAGTGTTGATTTACTTATAGGAATTTTAGCCTAGTACAGTTTACCTTGAACACAAAACATGCTATCCACTGAGCTACGTAGTTCAGATCACCATTAATTTATTCAAAGGATATAGTGTTTACATCAGTATTAGTAAGTGTTTGAATTATCTCCCTGTAGATATTCAGAAATGGATTGTAATCAGTCTTTGTTGATATCAGACATCATTCCTAACATTGTTTAATTTGTCTAATGATTATCACGTGATTCAATAATTATATAATAAACCGGTTTGAATACATTATTAACTTAATATATTGTTAGTTTAATAAATTAAATATTTACTAAAATTGTTGTCATGTGCTCACTAGTGGCTAGCTTCGGGCGGTGAAAAGCTGTGACCGGTGGAGTTCAATTGTGTCGAGTATGAGCCAGCTAGACACCAAAGGCAATGGTAGATAATCGTACAATATCATGGATTGATTAAAGTTAGACATTAACACCATTGGATGCCGGCTAGCTCAGTGATCTAGAGGTTAAGTGTTTGCACGCGAGATCGTGGGTGGGCACTGCTGAGGAGTCCCGTACTAGGATGAATTCTCCAACTATACTATTTTAATCGAAAAGCCTTCATTAGATTTTCAGTTAACATAATCACCAAAGTCATATTTACTTATATTAAACGGAAGTTTTGTCCTTCAAATAAGTGCTAATGATGATATTGTTCTGTAGAAGAACACTAAACACTTCACAAATAAACCTGTCCAGGTTAAAGATCGTAATACTTTTAAAAAAAAAAACATTTTCTAGTCTTTGATATAAGCACAAGACATTTAGGTTTATAATGGGAGACCATGGATCAGACTTTTAGATCAAAGACTTGAGATGTGGCCTCCTAAGTAAACCACCTATTTCGGTCTGGTCAGTTGGGCAGTATCATAACCCTTACACAATTACAATAAAATGACAATTAAAAAAAACACTTACTTCAAATATACTTACCATAACTAATAAACAATAAAACAAATGGAATATTTTTAAATAAACGTTTTAATGCAGCTGATATCTTCTCATTTCTAAGATGATTTTGTAATGATTGTTGAGAATAATCATCTATACTATTCTCATCAATATTGATAACAAAATTATTCATTATTGAATCATTCTTATCAGTTGTATTCTGTTTTGTTGATGATATGGAATATTCATTTGGACTAAGCGATGGATATTGTTGATCATTTTCTAATGATTTAGTATAGAATTCTAAAATAAAAAAATAAGGATTGAATAAGAAAAAGAAGATGATGGAGAAGATTTGTAGCTCAGATGGATAATTTTGATAGAGTTTTGTTCTCTAACTCCGCCTGTAGCTTTTATAGAGTTTCAGCCGGTCCAAAGCCCGCGTAAAGGAGGAGGGTTGGGCATGGGGCTCTCATTATGTAGAAAATTAACTCACTGAAGAAACGCTAACCAGAACTGGTGGGCGGCCTATGCTCCTGCACGAGAGGTAGCAGGCGTAAGTAAGTAAGTTTGTTCTATGAATTGGATGGTTTGATCGTGGAGCTTTCTGAACGACATCATCAGCACAAAACTTTAATAAAAGTGAAGTATTCAACAGATTTAAAGTCATTAAGAACCAATCAACATCAAGGTGTACAGGACAACCTGTGAATCACATGTAAAGAACTTTAAACATTTTATTTCTACCTGAAGTTTGTGCTGATCATGTCGTTCAGAAGGACGACGTAAGCTCCACGACCAAACCATCCAGCTCAGAGAACAAAACTCCATCAAAAAAAAGAAAACCAAAACAATAAATTACCTTTATCAATATTGTTTTTCTTATCATTTAGACCATTATTATTGATTATTGAATGGATACCATTTAAAGGTTTGTCAATTGATAATTGATCATTGATTTGTAATTTATGATTAATTGATGAACCATTACGTTTATATTGTGCTAAACTTGGTTCCGTTTTAGGTTTTGCACGTAAACCTTAAATAAAATTAATTCGAAAAATAATAATTAATAATTAATTAAAATTTATAATAAAACAAAAGTTTATTTCATATAAGGAGCGATTGAGCGTTCACTCTCGAGACTGATAGATCCTGGGTTCGAAGCTCGCGAGGTGAGATCAGAGATGCGCTCTGCTGAAGAGCTCCACAATAGGACGAAACAGCCATCCAATACTTTCAGGTTTTCTATGACGGTCCAGCTTCAATTAACTCATGATTTCAACTATATAAAAAAATTTACTAAAATCTCAACAAAAACCACTTTTGATCATTGGAAAATAGTTTGGTTCAATAATTCGAACCTTATATTTAGAAATGTAAAATACAAATTTCGGTGAGTTATGTAGAGTAAATTACCTACATGTCCAGAAATCAGAATCGATTGTGATATAATAGAATTCAATTAACCACTTAATTAAACTAAATAATTAATTAATTAATTAAATAGAAAAGAAAGTATGACTACAAATGTCCTAAGTTTAAATTACATTATTCATAAAAGGTATTTTCATTAGGTATTTAAAAGCATTTAGAAGAATTCCCTTCTAGATCTAAGTTTCGTGTTATTTGGCGCTGAAATTTGTATCATCCCAGTCATATAGTCTGAGATATTATCACTGGGGTATCCATGACCTAGGTGACCTGAAGTATTTCACACTGATTAGTTACTGTTTGTCTAGTCATTTATTGATGATTACAATATGTATCAGAAGGGGTTTTCGTGGATATTTCAGTATTTTAATAGTTGAAATCATGAGTCAATTGAAGCTAGACCACCATGAAAAACCTGGAAGTACTGAACGGTCGTTTCGTTTTATTATGAGACTCCTCAGTAGTGCGCATCGACGATCTCGCCTCGCGAGATTCCAACCGAGGACCTATCAGTTTCACGCGCGAGCACTTAACCGATAGACCACTGAGCTGGACGGCAGCTAACGGTGTTAATGTCTAACTTTAACCGATCCACGAAAATGAGTGACGCATCCACATGAATTGTCATGTTTTTTTGAGATGAATGCATACTTTCAACAACTGTCCAGGAACACTTAATTTTCAGTAGTTGTCTAAATAAGAACAGTTTGTGATGTTAAACTATGAAAACAATGATTGATAATTTGTACTTATTGAAAAATCTTTGCCCAAAAGGGTATTGTGTTAGATTTTATTCAGAAGCTTTTGGGATTAGATGGTAATATTACAAATTTCAACGTTATACTCTGAAGTTTAAACACGTAACGCGGATCCTAAATCCTCTGTGTTTAATGTCTGCCTGGATTGTAGGTGTTGTATGGGCTGGTACTGTGTCAAGCCCACATAGGGTATTATAGCCTCTGGACAAACATCAATCTTTTCATTCTTTACAAGCCGCATTTTGACGTTGTCGCTTATTTGCTTATTAACCCTGACTATTTTTTATACGATCGTCTGTGTTAATTGCTTAACCACTTCATCACGTGCTTATTATTTATTTTTATTTGAATATAAACACTGTGAGTAACGCTTTAACTCCGCCGGTAACTCTTTTAGAGTTACTGTCGGTCCAAAGCCCTGGGAAAGGAGGAGTATTGAACATGGGGTTAGTGATCCCATCCCGTAGGAAACAAACTGGCTAAAACAAATGCTAACCGGAAAAAATAATTCGAGTAACACTTTAGGGTTAGTTCACATGCTTTACCCGGTTCATTACGTTTCACCAGCTCATAGAACAAAACTCCAACAAAAAATTGAAAACTGTAAATTAACTGATCATTCAAAACGATGTGACAGAGAGAGAGTAAATATTTATGACTCTTTATGGACAACAAACTAAGTCAATCAGTTGTCAGTCAAGAATAACTTGAAACTTAAACCATATGTCCAACTATCCAACTTATATCTAAAGCGTAAGAAAAATAACGAGAAAGAACTAAGAGAATCAAGGTGTCAGCATTGATGGTAATAGAAAACTAAACAGGGAATAGTATTCAAAAACAGTAAAAAGGATTGAGATTGATTTTTGTATTTTTCTTGTGAATCTTCCCATTGATGTTTAGGACTACAAGTGATCAGTCTCTTATTGGTATACGTGAATCCTGTGCGAGTTGCCCCGATATTGTCTTAATTCACAATCATTATGAGCAAAGATAGATAGTGGCTAGCAGTGGAATTCAGAATGTGCGTTTCGTCTAATTTCAGATTTGTCAGCTGGATGTACCTGCATCCCAGAGTTGATGTTCACTCTAGACTCAGTACTAGTGTTATAAACCAGTATGAGAAATTAGAATTATGATTTACAATTGATGATCAGGGTAAGGAATTAGATTTATGGTTTTCATCGCGAACTGCCATCAGCTAAAATCTCAAAACGCTATTTAGCCAAATGGATGAATGAATTTCCTGCTAAAATCCAAGATCAACTGTCTTACACCTAATTGGTTCGTTCATAAATTATAATCTCGCTATTGATATTGGTTTATTCTAGTCCGCAATACTGGTGATATTCTGTCAATCTCAGTTCTAGAAGGAAATAGTCGTTTTCGGAAAACTTCAGTGTTACTGTATTTAACAGCAAAATTACATGATGTCAATCCAAATATCACAGAGGTATAGATTTCTCCAAGATTGTACATACAGTATTCTAATAAATACTGATCAAATTTTTCTACAAAATGTTTAAAACTATGTAATATGATAGTTTAGACTACTTGGTTGGGATTCGCGAGATAATAGCAATCGATGGTTAGAAACCTTGAAGGACATGGCTCAAACTCGTTTGCAATGGCGCAGGTTCATCCACTGTTTATGTTCTGCCAAATTTTTATCTTATGAATTCTTAATGTCTCTATCTCTTTTCTCTTTCCAAATTTATTTCACTGGATTATACTCCTTGAATAGCAACTTCAACCTCTAAACTTTCACAATAATGCTTATGCTCTTACTACTTCTTCCACTATGGGATTTGAATCGACAACTGCATCTGTGTGCTAATGTGGCATGACAACTCCAACTGATTTACGTACGCATAAAGTTCTACGTTGTGACTAACTGACTGAATATGATGGATAACAGTTTGTATTTTAATGGATCCTGATCATGTCAGAATCGATCACAATGGCGTCGGTGTATACACTCTTTATCTTCCCTTAAACCTTAAGATTAAAATTGCTTCATAACGTTCTTCCTTCATATACTATATCCTTATATACAACCTATCTTTTATATACTACCACCACTAAATTCACTATTTCTACGAATCCGATGGTCATCTTGTTGTGCTAACGAGGTAATGGCAACTTGGACCGATGAATAAATGTGCCAGGTCGTACGTTGTAGCTGACTGACTGACAGCTGTTTATAACAGAAACTTTAAAAATCATATAACTAATATAGTATAAACAACTTACCAAATAATACAAATATAAATGGAAGTAAATTTAAAGCGGCACTAAAATACAGCATAATCATCATATAGTGTTTAACATTGTTGAATAATTGATTCACATCTGTTTTTGGATCAAGTTGATTAGTTCCATTTGAACTATAAGGTATCGATGGTAAAATAAGCGGTGGTACTAGAAAGCCAAATGCAACACCAAGCTAGAAAAATAATAATAATAAAGTGAAAAGAATAATTCTACATATGAACAATGTTCATAGAACAAATGAAATTTTATGGTTCATCATGGAGTTCAGTCCGAATATTTCGTTTTATATAGGACTAGTTGGCTGTATCCTGTTAACTATGTTCCATCTATTCAATATGAAACTTTTGACAATATGGATATGTGAAAGTAATCTGTACAAGATATACATATGTCAACAGACTTACTTACGTACACCTGTTACCCTTCGTGGAGGAGCATAGGCCGCGCACTAGCATTCTCCATCCAACTCTGGCCTCCACAATCCCTCCCAGTTCTTTCCAGTTGTTATTTATCCCTTTCATATCTGCTTCTATTTCCCGGAGTAATGTATTCTTCAGCCTTCCTCTTTTCCGCTTCCTTTCAGGATTCCAAGTTAGGGCTTGCCTCATGATGCAGTTTGATGATTTCCTCAATGTATGTCCGATCCACTTCCAACGTCTTTTCCTAATTTCCTCTTCAGCTGGGAGCTGGTTAGTCCTATCCCACAGTAGACTGTTGCCGACAGTATCCAGCCAGTGAATGTTGAGTATTTTGCATAGACAACTGTTTATAAATACATGTACCATTTTGGCGATGGATGTAATAGTTCCTCATGTTTCAGCTCCGTACAGTAGAACTGACTGTCTTTACGTTCGTATTGAAGATCTTTACTTTGAAGTTAGTTGACAGTTGTTTTGAGTTCCATATGTCAACAAAGACTGATCACAATTCAATTCTCGATGTCATAGAAGTATGTAAGATTTGATATTGATATACACTTTCTAGAGATGAGCTATATATATATCCCTTAGGAAATTAAACCTATCAGTGGTTTATGCTATGTCACTTATAGATAAAAGCCATTTCTTGGTCAATAAGATGTAACTATTGTTTTAGAACATTTGATTGGCATAATGTACCAAGTTTTGTAAAGATTTCACCACATCCTATTGGTGTACGATAATGACTTCACATCTAAACTGAACGCCAGACTTTCAGAGTTAATATCTAAGTTTGTGTGTTAGATTACAGTGGCGAATTTTAACCAAGTGGTTTAATCAACTGAACTTATCATGATTTGTAAGGGTTTTTAATATTCTGTTGATGGTATTAAGGAATGTAACTGATTAGTCAATTAGCACTAATCATAAAAACGATTGATTAAATGCAGTTCAGAAACTTATACAAAAAAAATTCCCACTCAGTGTATAAGCTATTGGGGATCTGAACTTCGCAGTTCGATAGACAGAACATTGATGTTTGAAGCGATAAACACTGTCGTACAGTTTCATGGTGAACAGGAACAGTGAGATGGAAAAACATCCATCTGACAAGTCCCAAACGAGACAAAATATCAGTCCTGAGTAAAGAAAGCCCATTTTTTTCTATTTAGGACGCGTTAGCTAAACTTACCTTCACCCTACTGCTAATATTCACACTGGGATTCGAACCTAGGTCGTTTAGTATCAGACATCCAACACTCAACTAGTCAATTCGAATAGCTTTCAACTTGTTCAACATATATGAAGATTTTAGATAAGGTTTGCAATTTGTCTTTAAAAATTAGGAAATAACGTGTTAGACGTTTGGGGGCGACAAATATGGAGCTCACATATTGGTCTAAACATCAATAATCAGATGCTGGTACATAAAGGAATAAGTCTCGAATAAGATGTAAAGCGATCCCTGGATCTAAATACTAAGCACATATCAAATATATCATAAATAAGTTCACTTAATATTGTTTGTTTGAATCTTCCCATTGATGCTTAGGATTGCAACTGGTCAGTTTTTTAATGACATATGCGCATACTGTGCTCATTACCTCGATATAGTCTTAATTCACAAGTATTATAAGCGAAAAGTACTGGTTTTGAGTCCCAGAGTGAACATCAACACTGAGAGATGCAGGTACATCCAACTGACGAGCCTCAAATAGAACGAAACGTGCGTCAAACTGGAATCCACTGCTAGGCACTATCCATCTTTGCTTATTATAATTAAGGTTTCTACTTATATAGGTATGTTACAGTGGTCTAGACCAAAAATGTACTAACTGTTTCAGGTAAGTAAAACTTTGAAATAATGTTAATATATGACATTGAAATTGTCATGGTTTTCAATCAATCACTTTTTAGCTTATTTCATTTAACTATAAAGTACCGATCTACCACCTTAGAGTAAACAAACTCTAATAATTAATACATTCTAATCAAGTGATATTAAATACTTACAATTTTTTGTAAATGTGGTTTAAGTAAAAAAGTGATTGTTTATGTTTACGCATTTGTTAATGTTGAATTGTGACTAGTAGTAGGATACAGAACATGCATTTCGTGCATATCCGTTGCACAAGCTAGTAGTAGTTCAGTAGATAATATATTGGCTTCTGAATTCATAGGTACTACGTTTTGTTTTAGTTCGGATATCAACATTGAAATGTTGATATATTCGGTTGATGAGTTCCAAGTAGGTCAAAACATGAATCTAGGATTTCATTGTTAGTCAGCACCGAGTGCTATTGGAAATATGGAATTAACTGATAACATCGAGTTATTTCGTCCAGAGTCCACATATTTCTAACATCAATAACCGGGAAGAAACGGTGCAGACAATACAAACTTACTTGATTCCCGAATACACCAAGTGCAGTGGCGGTTGAAACTTCATTCACTCCAAACCAAACTGCTGCTAAATGGGCTGGTATACCCAATATACCGGATTGAGCTATTCCACAAATAGTTTGTCCAAACATAAGTATTGGAAAACCAAGTTTATGGCTGAATGGAATAGATATGTCAGATTGTCCAAACGTTGTTTCATATGTAACCGCACCCGCTATACATTTAATACAACCACCGACTGCATTCAAAGCTGAAGCAACTAGCAGAGTTACACGCAGACCCCATCTATTCAGTATCCAATTAGAAGGAAATATCAATGGAATATAAGTGAGCATATAAATCATTGACAACCAATCAACAGATATTGTCTTGGTATCTACAGATGACCCTGAATTTGGGAAGGTCAAATAAAAACAAAAATTTCATAACAGTCTGTAATACTGATGAGAAAGTCATTAATTGTTATAAACGAATTATTATATTCGAAGGGGTTTTGTGGAGATTTTAGTATTTTTATAGAGTTGAGATCATGAGTCAATTGAAGCTAGACTACCATGGAAAACCTGGAAGCACTGGACGGCCGTTTCGTCCTATTATGGGACTCCTCAGCAGTGCGCGTCCACGAACCCACTCTCGCGGGATTCGAACCCAGGACCTACCAGTTTCGAGCCGTAGCCCTTAACCGATAGACCACTGAGCTGGCATCCAACGGTGTTAATTTCTAACTTCAACCGTTGGATGCCAGCTCAGTGGTCTATCGGTTAAGGGCTTCGGCTCGAAACTGGTAGGTCCTGGGTTCGAATCCCGCGAGAGTGGGTTCGTGGACGCGCACTGCTGAGGAGTCCCATAATAGGACGAAACGGCCGTCCAGTGCTTCCAGGTTTTCCATGGTAGTCTAGCTTCAATTGACTCATGATCTCAACTCTATAAAAATACTAAAATCTCCACAAAACCCCTTCTGATAATAATCAGGTGCTCACTAGTGACTGACTCCTTGAGGTATTTCCTGGAGTTCTAGTGAGAAGCAGTAACCGGTGGAGTTCAACCAGGTCTGTTGTGAGATAGGAACTCACTGATGACATTGGTGAATGGTTGCTCAATTTCGTGAATCAGTTGAAGTTAGAAATTAACACCGTTGGATGCCAGCTCAGTGGTCTATCGGTTAAGGGCTTCGGCTCGAAACTGGTAGGTCCTGGGTTCGAATCCCGCGAGAGTGGGTTCGTGGACGCGCACTGCTGAGGAGTCCCATAATAGGACGAAACGGCCGTCCAGTGCTTCCAGGTTTTCCATGGTAGTCTAGCTTCAATTGACTCATGATCTCAACTCTATAAAAATACTAAAATCTCCACAAAACCCCTTCTGATAATAATCAGGTGCTCACTAGTGACTGACTCCTTGAGGTATTTCCTGGAGTTCTAGTGAGAAGCATTAACCGGTGGAGTTCAACCAGGTCTGTTGTGAGATAGGAACTCACTGATGACATTGGTGAATGGTTGCTCAATTTCGTGAATCAGTTGAAGTTAGAAATTAACACCGTTGGATGCCAGCTCAGTGGTCTATCGGTTAAGGGCTTCGGCTCGAAACTGGTAGGTCCTGGGTTCGAATCCCGCGAGAGTGGGTTCGTGGACGCGCACTGCTGAGGAGTCCCATAATAGGACGAAACGGCCGTCCAGTGCTTCCAGGTTTTCCATGGTAGTCTAGCTTCAATTGACTCATGATCTCAACTCTATAAAAATACTAAAATCTCCACAAAACCCCTTCTGATAATAATCAGGTGCTCACTAGTGACTGACTCCTTGAGGTATTTCCTGGAGTTCTAGTGAGAAGCAGTAACCGGTGGAGTTCAACCAGGTCTGTTGTGAGATAGGAACTCACTGATGACATTGGTGAATGGTTGCTCAATTTCGTGAATCAGTTGAAGTTAGAAATTAACACCGTTGGATGCCAGCTCAGTGGTCTATCGGTTAAGGGCTTCGGCTCGAAACTGGTAGGTCCTGGGTTCGAATCCCGCGAGAGTGGGTTCGTGGACGCGCACTGCTGAGGAGTCCCATAATAGGACGAAACGGCCGTCCAGTGCTTCCAGGTTTTCCATGGTAGTCTAGCTTCAATTGACTCATGATCTCAACTCTATAAAAATACTAAAATCTCCACAAAACCCCTTCTGATAATAATCAGGTGCTCACTAGTGACTGACTCCTTGAGGTATTTCCTGGAGTTCTAGTGAGAAGCATTAACCGGTGGAGTTCAACCAGGTCTGTTGTGAGATAGGAACTCACTGATGACATTGGTGAATGGTTGCTCAATTTCGTGAATCAGTTGAAGTTAGAAATTAACACCGTTGGATGCCAGCTCAGTGGTCTATCGGTTAAGGGCTTCGGCTCGAAACTGGTAGGTCCTGGGTTCGAATCCCGCGAGAGTGGGTTCGTGGACGCGCACTGCTGAGGAGTCCCATAATAGGACGAAACGGCCGTCCAGTGCTTCCAGGTTTTCCATGGTAGTCTAGCTTCAATTGACTCATGATCTCAACTCTATAAAAATACTAAAATCTCCACAAAACCCCTTCTGATAATAATCAGGTGCTCACTAGTGACTGACTCCTTGAGGTATTTCCTGGAGTTCTAGTGAGAAGCATTAACCGGTGGAGTTCAACCAGGTCTGTTGTGAGATAGGAACTCACTGATGACATTGGTGAATGGTTGCTCAATTTCGTGAATCAGTTGAAGTTAGAAATTAACACCGTTGGATGCCAGCTCAGTGGTCTATCGGTTAAGGGCTTCGGCTCGAAACTGGTAGGTCCTGGGTTCGGATCCCGCGAGAGTGGGTTCGTGGACGCGCACTGCTGAGGAGTCCCATAATAGGACGAAACGGCCGTCCAGTGCTTCCAGGTTTTCCATGGTAGTCTAGCTTCAATTGACTCATGATCTCAACTCTATAAAAATACTAAAATCTCCACAAAACCCCTTCTGATAATAATCAGGTGCTCACTAGTGACTGACTCCTTGAGGTATTTCCTGGAGTTCTAGTGAGAAGCAGTAACCGGTGGAGTTCAACCAGGTCTGTTGTGAGATAGGAACTCACTGATGACATTGGTGAATGGTTGCTCAATTTCGTGAATCAGTTGAAGTTAGAAATTAACACCGTTGGATGCCAGCTCAGTGGTCTATCGGTTAAGGGCTTCGGCTCGAAACTGGTAGGTCCTGGGTTCGAATCCCGCGAGAGTGGGTTCGTGGACGCGCACTGCTGAGGAGTCCCATAATAGGACGAAACGGCCGTCCAGTGCTTCCAGGTTTTCCATGGTAGTCTAGCTTCAATTGACTCATGATCTCAACTCTATAAAAATACTAAAATCTCCACAAAACCCCTTCTGATAATAATCAGGTGCTCACTAGTGACTGACTCCTTGAGGTATTTCCTGGAGTTCTAGTGAGAAGCAGTAACCGGTGGAGTTCAACCAGGTCTGTTGTGAGATAGGAACTCACTGATGACATTGGTGAATGGTTGCTCAATTTCGTGAATCAGTTGAAGTTAGAAATTAACACCGTTGGATGCCAGCTCAGTGGTCTATCGGTTAAGGGCTTCGGCTCGAAACTGGTAGGTCCTGGGTTCGAATCCCGCGAGAGTGGGTTCGTGGACGCGCACTGCTGAGGAGTCCCATAATAGGACGAAACGGCCGTCCAGTGCTTCCAGGTTTTCCATGGTAGTCTAGCTTCAATTGACTCATGATCTCAACTCTATAAAAATACTAAAATCTCCACAAAACCCCTTCTGATAATAATCAGGTGCTCACTAGTGACTGACTCCTTGAGGTATTTCCTGGAGTTCTAGTGAGAAGCAGTAACCGGTGGAGTTCAACCAGGTCTGTTGTGAGATAGGAACTCACTGATGACATTGGTGAATGGTTGCTCAATTTCGTGAATCAGTTGAAGTTAGAAATTAACACCGTTGGATGCCAGCTCAGTGGTCTATCGGTTAAGGGCTTCGGCTCGAAACTGGTAGGTCCTGGGTTCGAATCCCGCGAGAGTGGGTTCGTGGACGCGCACTGCTGAGGAGTCCCATAATAGGACGAAACGGCCGTCCAGTGCTTCCAGGTTTTCCATGGTAGTCTAGCTTCAATTGACTCATGATCTCAACTCTATAAAAATACTAAAATCTCCACAAAACCCCTTCTGATAATAATCAGGTGCTCACTAGTGACTGACTCCTTGAGGTATTTCCTGGAGTTCTAGTGAGAAGCAGTAACCGGTGGAGTTCAACCAGGTCTGTTGTGAGATAGGAACTCACTGATGACATTGGTGAATGGTTGCTCAATTTCGTGAATCAGTTGAAGTTAGAAATTAACACCGTTGGATGCCAGCTCAGTGGTCTATCGGTTAAGGGCTTCGGCTCGAAACTGGTAGGTCCTGGGTTCGAATCCCGCGAGAGTGGGTTCGTGGACGCGCACTGCTGAGGAGTCCCATAATAGGACGAAACGGCCGTCCAGTGCTTCCAGGTTTTCCATGGTAGTCTAGCTTCAATTGACTCATGATCTCAACTCTATAAAAATACTAAAATCTCCACAAAACCCCTTCTGATAATAATCAGGTGCTCACTAGTGACTGACTCCTTGAGGTATTTCCTGGAGTTCTAGTGAGAAGCAGTAACCGGTGGAGTTCAACCAGGTCTGTTGTGAGATAGGAACTCACTGATGACATTGGTGAATGGTTGCTCAATTTCGTGAATCAGTTGAAGTTAGAAATTAACACCGTTGGATGCCAGCTCAGTGGTCTATCGGTTAAGGGCTTCGGCTCGAAACTGGTAGGTCCTGGGTTCGAATCCCGCGAGAGTGGGTTCGTGGACGCGCACTGCTGAGGAGTCCCATAATAGGACGAAACGGCCGTCCAGTGCTTCCAGGTTTTCCATGGTAGTCTAGCTTCAATTGACTCATGATCTCAACTCTAAAAAAATACTAAAATCTCCACAAAACCCCTTCTGATAATAATCAGGTGCTCACTAGTGACTGACTCCTTGAGGTATTTCCTGGAGTTCTAGTGAGAAGCAGTAACCGGTGGAGTTCAACCAGGTCTGTTGTGAGATAGGAACTCACTGATGACATTGGTGAATGGTTGCTCAATTTCGTGAATCAGTTGAAGTTAGAAATTAACACCGTTGGATGCCAGCTCAGTGGTCTATCGGTTAAGGGCTTCGGCTCGAAACTGGTAGGTCCTGGGTTCGAATCCCGCGAGAGTGGGTTCGTGGACGCGCACTGCTGAGGAGTCCCATAATAGGACGAAACGGCCGTCCAGTGCTTCCAGGTTTTCCATGGTAGTCTAGCTTCAATTGACTCATGATCTCAACTCTATAAAAATACTAAAATCTCCACAAAACCCCTTCTGATAATAATCAGGTGCT